GTTTGTCATGATCAGTTACATAACTCAAACTGTATCCCAAATTATAAAGTTTAATTTGAATTTAGTTTAATTTTAATTTGTTGTATTCGCGGTATGTATGTATTGTATTGTATTGTATTGTTTATTACCAAGAACCATACAGTTCATAGGTTTAACGTATATACATAAATTAGTTGTACAGTATATGTATAACATTTCAATATCATTTGAACATTAAGTAAAGCAGGATCATAGAAAATTTTTACAAACTATTCTAATTCATAAAGCAGAAAAAGCACAATAATATAAGTTTAGTAATAGTAGTAGTGAGGATAAAGTGGTAATATCAATTCAATTTACATCTGCTCTTAATTTTGTACATTTATAAAGATATTTTCCCAGTTTACATAACTCTGTTACATTTTTTGTCGACAACAATTGAACAAGTTTAAAGGTAGAGGGTTTTTGGTGATAATATTTCTTAATATACTCTTTTCTAACATTAGAAAAAAATGGACAAACCAGAATAAAATGATATTCGTCTTCAACCTCTGACATTAAACAAAATTTACATAATCTTTCTATTCTAGGAATATTAAAAAATCTTCCTCGCTCTATCTTTAGTTGGTGAGAAGACAGACGGTATTGACTGATATGTTGTGCATATTTTTGTGATATTGACTTTTTTTTAAATATAATTGTAAATCAAAACTATCACTTAAATGCTTATACAAAATGCACTTCGGAGAACCTTCAAAATAACTTCGTGCTTCTTGTATGAACATGTCATCCAATCTTTGTTTCACCTCAAACAAAAAAAGTTTTTCATTAAGATTATTTTTACAGTTCCATGTATAACCAAAGCCTAATGTATCAACAAGTTCTTTTATATGTGACAACCAGCAAGGAAAAGTGTTAGATTCACACACATCTAACATTTCTTTGTATATATTTCTTAAAATACAATTATCGCTATTTTTTAATTTTAGCCAATACTTCAGCATTCTAAATTTTCTGTTCCATTGTAATGGTTTCTGTCCTAGTTCAAAATAAACCATAATAGATGTGGTGCTTTTTTTAACACCTAGTACTCTTTTACAAAAATCTGAGTGGATACTTTCCAATTCTCCTGCTGGGTGAAACCCCCAAACTTCGCAACCATAATTTGCTATACTACCAATATATGTATCAAACAATGACAGTTTAGTGCTTACATTCAAATACATTGGTTTCATTTTTGTTATTAAACTACTTAGACTCTTTCTACATTGTGCTGCTAGTACACTTTGTGTTTTGTTAAATTTACCATTATAATTCAAAGTTATTCCTAAGTAATTGAAATTTTCAACAATATCAATCAATTTGTTTTCGTACTTCCAACAGTAATTTTTCTTCAATCTACCACCTTTTCTAAATACAACAATTTTAGTTTTATCCACGTTAACTTTAAGTTTCCACTTTGCTGTATATCGCTCTAAACAATTGAGCATATCTTGTAAACCTTGTTCTGTCTCTGAGAAAAGCACAGTGTCATCTGCATACATGATCAAAAACATAGCAATATCTCTTATTTCTACGGGAATACACATATTCTCTATAAATTCCATCTCAAAATCATTAACATACAGAGAGAACAAAAATGGAGAGAGAGATTCACCCAGCATCAGACCCTCATGGCAGCCAAAAAAATGGGAAAATTGATTTCTGTGTCGTACACAAGATTTTATATTAGAATACAAAGATTTAATAATATTCAGCATGTGGCAATCGATACCACTTTTTGCTAATTTAGATAACATAATATTTCGATCAATTTTATCAAATGCTTTTTCGTAATCTACAAAACAGCAAAATAATTTTTTCCCTTTGCTAACAGCTCGGCTGATTAACCAGTGTAGAACAAAATTAGCATCTGTTGTACTATGACCGGCTTTAAAACCATGTAACCATTAAGTCACTCACCAGCTATAATGATTATAACTTGATTGATGGTCGGGTAAATAAAAATTTTGTATATAATAGTAGATACCTTTATTTACCATTTAAGATAATACCTGCTTTTTACATGACAAATTATGAATTTATGAAAACCAACAATGAAATATTTGTAAAATGGAATGACCTTTGTAATGGCATCCGTAAATAAAAAGAAAAAGGGGCAGTTAACTCTGTACTTAATATATTTTAGTTTAGGAAAGGGGATTATCTTGGAAGTATTGTGATACAGACAAGTGTATTATGTAGTGGACTAGTGGTAACTGAATTGTATATAAACCACAGTAAAATAATTTTTGAAAAATTAACTTTTTTGCTGATGTCATCCAGTGTTTACTTATAAAAGAAAATTCATATTCAGCTAACATTTTCTCCGGTACCACTGAACTAATTTAAGTCAACTAGGTTCCAATAATAAGCTGCAAGCATCATTAGATTTAAAGCAAGTAAATTTATGAAATGAATATCTATACTCCATTTTTTCTTGGGGGGTCATTGGACAGAAATAAAAAACATAATTTAGAGTTTTGACAAAACCTAGAACCAATTGACCTTTTTATTGCAAGTTTTTAAATTTAAAGAATATCTAAAATCAATACGGTCTCAACTTTGTGTGTTGTATACTTCTGTTTTTAGAATGAAATTCGGCACTTTGAAGCCAAACTCGGAAAGAAGCAGAAACAGAATTGGATGAGCTGATACAGAATTAGACAGGAAAAACATGTAAAAAATACATTTAGTAAAAACGTTAACTTTTTTAAAATAAAATGATAAACCATTGAGATCTCTTGGAATTTAATTGATTCCAATAAACATGCTTTGCATTCATCATCATTGCTCAAGCTCAACTAGAAATGGTTCTAAGTATATGAAGGCAAAGCTGTATAATATTATTACATTTTAATTTTATTACTTTTTCAGATTATGAGAAGACATTATTACAATACAGACCATTGATGCTGGAAGTGAGCGGATAGTGTTACCGGAGACTCAGGGATCCAGAAAATAGATCCATAAATTGTACAGTGTATTCATGAAAGTGGATCAAATAAAAATGTTCAATCCAAAAGTAACATACTTTGTTTGTCTGTTAGCATTTTTTATTGATGTAAATCTTATACCTATCAATTTTTAGTATGCAGATTAATAATTAGACCGTAGAAAAATCTGAAACATATCTTTATATTCTGTATTTTGAAGTATCATTATTAAAACAAAGTCAATATTAAATGATCGATCAACTAATTTCAAAACTGACAAAATGTTTTTGTTAGAAATAAGAAAGAGGGCTAATTTATATATTGTACCTCATGTACTACTGATGTTGGTGTGAGTGAAATAAAAATGATGATGATGATTAACTAGTTTAAAATCAGACGACACGTTCCTCAAATTTATGTTTTGTATCTCTTGGTATTATATAAAAAAATATTCATATTTGTCATTCTCTTCTGATTTCTACATTGTTTTCAAAATGTTTTTAAATATAAGTACAACAAAAATTTCGATATATGCCATTCAAAAGATTGCCCATTAGGGTTATTAATGAATATCTTTTAGGGTCAGTTCAAGTTTAGACATTCATATACATTATAGCCCTTCCAGATTTTTATTTTAGGCACCAGTAGCTACTGAGGTCTTAGCTGTTTTGCAATATTGTTCCTTAATTAGGACAGCAGGAGAATATATCATCGGTTCAATACAAAAGGTTGCAGTCATTCGTTCTTGACAGACATGGTATCGTTTTTGAAAGTGCATGGTGTGGAGTAGGCATAAAAAACTGCAAGAAAAAAAGTGGGGAAATTCTCCAACCTCGAAAGGGGGGGGTTAAACATCAGGTTATGTTGAGAAAAAAGTTGGTTGGGGAATATCATCCCCCTACCCAACCCAAACCTGATGCTGCATGCCTGATTGATATGGTTTTACTTTAAAATTATGTGAGCTGTCATAGTGACTCTCTTTCATAAGCTAGAACTATTGTGAGCAAGCTCATAAAATGATACCAACCTGCTGTTGCATCAAAGGTTTTTTATTACAAAAAAGGGCCAAATATTAATTTAAAACCTTTTTAAAATTTTGCTAGTGCAGATATACATGCCAAAAATGACTATGACATATACGCAAGTCATAGGTAGTAAAACCGTGTGTTGAGCACAACCTTCCAATTTCTCTTCATTCGAAATTATATATGTAAATGTGCCAAACTCATATAGTACACTTTTACTGCAGTGACCTTGAAAAAGCCATGTCCTTGAGTCAAGGTCAAACATGCCCAAATGAGCTTTGGTCAAGGTCATGTCAAACCTACAGCTCAAAAATAATCCCCGAGATGAAACTTCAAGTCTTTTCATTAAAATGTAACAGAATGGACAAAGATTGCACTATTCTTCTACCAATGACCTTGAACTTGTTCAAATTACCTTGGGTCAAGTTTTTGACACATCTCTAGATCACATGAAATCTTAATATCAAGTATGAAGCTTCAGTGGCACTTCTTTGAAATGTTATGGACAAGTCAAAATTTTACATACACGCGTAAGCGGGTTATGTAAATTTTTTCTGCAATAGCTGCGACCGTTCATTCCAGTAATAACAAACAAAGAAAGACATTTTATTGTTTATATTTATATCTGTTTAAATAATCATTCAAAGTAGGATTAAACAGATTAATTATTGTATTAATGATGCGAACGTCTTTATACGTTTCATTGATGGAACAGCGACTGATTAAGAAATCTGTACAGGCGACATGCCTATTGTAGTTTATGCAGGGATGAACGCAATGGGGTTTCTTAAGAAATAAAGGAGAAAATATTCAGTGGATGTAAATATATAAGCAGTAAGCCCTTATGTAAACCGCTCTCCTAAAGGATCTAGCCAGTCAGAGAGCTTGCTTGTGAAAAATGATTCACAATAAGCAGCAAAAAATAGATGTGAGTTTGTTCTTTTTTAATACATTTCCTCAAGAACTACGTTTAAATCTCTAACCGAAACAAATTAGCTCGAGCTAATTTTTGTAGCCTAAAGAGAGATAACTCCGATTTTGTAATGGACACGTATGGTGACAGATGCAGATGACGAAGAAAAGTTTCCTAAGTTTATTTTTGAGTTTTGCAGTTACTGGTTTTACAGGTAATGTATGTTAATTAAAAAATGAAGAAGACATTTCAATAGCACTTGATCATTAATCGAGAGCACTACAAACCAATTCATGGAAACAGCTCGGATTAGCTCCTGACGTGTAGCCTAAAATAGCCGGTAGCAAATTTAATAAAACACTCTCTCCATGTAACGAAATGAAATAGGTAGAATACAATATTTTATACACCTTTAACCAGTTTGAAAGGGCCAAATGTGTATAAAATATTTTTCTCAGTGTGTGCAAAAATATCATTTTGATGCAGTGATCATTTTCAACTTTGAACTCATCTGAAAACAACTTTGAACTGAATTTCTCTTAATCTAAGCTTCTCTGAGAAACAAGGATTTTTTTTTTCATCATCAATGTGTAAACATGATGACTGGAAGGAAAAGTGTTGTAAAAGACTACATAAACTTTTCCCCTTCAATCATAGATCGACCCTACTAAGCATAACGTTAAAGATACTGCTGTATGATAAGTAAATAATTAATATGCTACGATCATGATCATAGGATTCCTTCCAAGTTAACAAGAACCTTAAGATTATGATTACATACAATACATTTGTGATTTGTTTTTTATTGCAGCATGTGACTCAGATGTTAAATTAGCCACTATCCCAGACATTAATCTGTTGTACACCTCAGAGAACCTTTTCATGCAAATAGTGGAACCAGAAGAAATAAGCTACATATACAAGATTAAACCAGCCAAAAATTTTGGTGGAGAATTTGTAAGTAGTTTCTGGGCTCTAGCACTTCTTTTTGGGAATGGAAGCAGCCTTTTGGGAAATTATAAAGATATCTGTTAGACTTTAAAATAATGATCTAATGAGTTTCTGGTCTTTTCTGTGTTCTGCAATACAGAAGAATACATACTGAAGGGAGAACAAGTTAAAAAATTATTATATATCTATACTGTATACTTTTTTTTTTATTTTTGGGAGAATGACTGTTGGAAAAATTAACACATTTAATTGGGAAAAAAGGTATCTTGTTAATTGGAAATGGGGCTGTTGAACGGCCCCAATTATAGACAACCAAGAGCCTTGAGTTTTGTTGCTTACCATATTTCTGGGAATAAACATATTTAAACATTGCAGTCATGGTAATTCAGATCAACTTTTGTTGAAGCTGTAAACTGTGATTTGAAATACATCAGTTGTTTAATCAAAATTCTATAAGCTTGGACCATTGCAGGAAGTTAGAAGATTAATTTAAAGTTGAAATGAATGAAAAATTAAAATTCTCTGTAGTGTTTATGAGCTAGGAGTTAATATACTGAAACACTATATATATATAGCATGATAAGTACTTGACAAATGTATGCATAAGCAGTAAAATTATTAAGTTTATTCTGCTTCAAGGAAAAAGTTTACCATCACATACCCCTTGTTGTTGCTGATCCTTACAACGGCTGTAGTAAATTAGCCAATCAGAGACAAGTTGATGGAGCAGTGGTGCTAATACAGAGAGGGTAAGATCCCAATTGGATGGCTGACAAACAGTTTAATTTTAAAATATTCTGTAATAGAATTTGACATGGAATGTCTTATGTTTTCAAACTGGTAGACAGAGATCTAATGAGGAGCATATATATCAACTTCACACTTAATTTGATATTAACTCTTTTGAAAAAAAAAATTATTATTCTATTTTTAATAATCTACTTTATAAAAAAACTGATGTGTCAGTGTATCTACCATTTGTTTTATGTATGTCTACATTTGTAAAAACTAGTATCTAAATGATTTCAGAGACTGTTCTTTTGTAACCAAAACACTGAATGCTGAGAATTCTGGGGCAGTGGCAGTACTGATAACTGACAATGATACAGAGAATGATGAAGCACAGATACAGATGGTACAGGACGGCACAGAAAGGGAGGTCCGCATCCCAAGTCTCTTCTTACTGGGAAAGGATGGGTACGTGTGTACTTATCATCAGCTGATGAGACTAAGATTTCAGTATTCTGGCTTTTGATTGGTTTGATTATATTTAAATTATAAACTTATCTGTACATGATGAAGGCCACTCTGCCTCTAAGTGTGTGTTATCTGTATTTAGTGTGTGAGTTGTCTGTTTGTAGATACATGATTAAAGCCACTCTGGAGAAGTATAGAATGGATGGCGCCATTGTTAACATTCCATTCAACATAACAGGGATGCCTCTTATGATGAATCAACAACCTCCCTGGACTCTGTGGTGATAATAGTCCCAGCCAAATAAGGCAGTCCTCAATCACCCCCATTTTCTTACTGAGCAGAATAATCAAGTTTTCCTCTGTTCTTCCTGTGACATTGATCTGTGATAAACCTCTTTTTGAACTTGCTCTCACTATACTCTCTGTTTGTTGCAATATAATGTAGTTGATCATTGCAAAATAATTTTTTTAAGTACAGTGTATGTTGTTATGGTGTATTCACATGTTCATTTCCATTTCTTATGGTACTTTTCAACTACTAACAGTATTTTTCTATGCAATGTCTTAAATGTCTTAGTGACTAGTGATGATGTCAAATTTAGTATAAATGAAGTAGAAAAAAGTTTAACATTTAGTTGTATCCTAGCTAAGTAATATCGATCTAGTCCGAAAAAGTTTTATATTTCTCAATGGGATAAAATTACCCAGTAGGAAAAATGAAATTTCCTTTATAGCAGTTGTATACATCTGTCCTGCCTGTACATATACAGGTCACAAAGATTACATGAAAATAGACCATGAGAAATTTTATTTCATCTTATGGTACATGGAATGACAAATGTGAAAAATTGTTATAAATTTATTTTATTTTTTAATTTCTTCAATTATAAATAGCTAATTGCTATTTACAGGTATAATGTACAGTGAAATATATTTTTACAAAGCAAATTGTCTTTAGTTAGAGTGTTTATGATATGTACAATGTAATTGCAATTGGAATGGTGTTAATGAGGTGGAATGGTAAAGATGATACATCAATGCAGTAAAGAAAAAAAATTAGTCCTTTGTAGAATATGTGTTACATATGTATATAGTTTAGGAGAACAATCATCTTTCATGACACCATTTGTCTTTCATTCTCAGACAATAATTGTGAAACTATGCAAGGATTGTAACTTACTTGTGATTGTCCTAGTTCAGAATTTTTACATACAAGAAATATAGATGTATGTATGACATATAGGTATCATAGGTACTATAAGAAATAATTTCTGTTTGATTAGTTAATTTTCTTTTATTTTTAGATAATAAGGTACAGCTAATATTGTCATAATATTCATAACACATGTGTGCAATTTTATCTAAAAAGGTATTATTTTTTTCATCTGTAAAATATGAAGTTGAATAGATAACATCCAGATTACATAATATACTGAATTTTCAATATTTCTGTTACAATTTTTAATAGTTTTCAGAAATGTAAATAATGTTGATGGCAGTTCCATTAGCAATGATCCTTTATTTACCATTTAATGTCATAAATACAGTGGATCTTCAGATATCTGGACGCCAGATACCCAGATGCTTCAGTATCCGAACGATTTTTCATCAGAACGGAATTTTTTAACATTAATTAATTTTGTTTAACTGGCAATTCAGATATACAGATGCTTCACATATCCGGACAAATTGACTAGGAACCAAAGCATCTGGATTAATGAGGCTCCACTGTACATGCATAATTTTTTTTTGGGAGGGGGATTGAAATTGTACTTTTCTTGATCCACTAGAATGCACATTTGGGAAGGATATTTGATGCTTGCCCCTAATATCAATCTACAATTAAACTGTAGATTGCTTACATTATAAGTCTTGAAGAAATATCCACTAGACGTATGCAGGCTGTCCATAAAGTTTTGTGACAATATTAAGTAAATGGTCCTTATAGATATGCTAATTGTCATACCAAAATATTTTGGATTGAATTCAAATTTAAGTTGAATAGTTTGGTTTGAATGTTTTAACTTCAAAAATAAATCAAAGAAATTGATGTATTGCTACTTTCTTTTGCAGATGCATTGACTGATGCATTTGGTCTTGTAAAGTTTGGTATGGACTTTGATTAAGTGCCTGCTATATGGCTTTCAAGCTTCAGAGCTCGACATCATAAAAATAGCATGTATTCACAAATGTGATTAAAATATGAAATCCATATTATTTTCACATCGTAAAACTAGCTTTACATCGCATTTCCCCTTCTTCCAAGGCCATGTAAAGTTAATTCCTTGGTTCTCAGGCCTTTTTTTTTTCAAGAAATATGATGAGGGAGGGAGGCTTTTTTTTCCCACTTTTTATTGCCCCCAAAACATGATGAGGCAGCTTTAAACAATGTACAAAACCTCAAAAAATGACGAGGGAGGTGATTTGTTGTTTTTATTTTATTGATTTTAGCAATAAAAAGGGTCAATGAGGCACCCTTGGAAGAGATGAGGGAGGACCTGAGAACCAAGAAATTAATTTTTTTATGGCCCAAATGGTCTATATTCTATAATTTTTATACATTTAATAAAGTATGTTGTATATTTTACTATTGTACAGTTTAGCAACTGTGTGGTCATTACTTACAAATTCGAGCATTTTCATAGAACTTTATGGACAGTCCTCAAACATTAATTCTTATGTGTTGCCTCTAAAGTTTTATTTACATTCAACACTCTTGATTGGAAATATTTAGTTTTTTCTTCTTTCAGTTCAGATAAATTAAGATTATAAATACCTCCAAAACATTATCTGCTTTGTTTTATTTATACTTGTTTATTGTAAAACAAGTGATGGCAAACATTGATAACCATGTTTGCTAAGGTAGCTAGCACAATGAGTATTCAAATCCAGACATTGGTCAATTTGCAACAGTTTTCACAAAGCACTGTCGATGAAGATGTACTTGATGCCCCAGATGTATGAACTGACTAAGTTTGCAGATTCTTAAGGCCCTTATATCAATACTTAGTATTTTATACATATAGCCTTAAACCCCTATGTATAACTTTTGATCCCTCATTGTGACCCCCACCTCATTCCTGGGGGCTAGATTTGAAGGCAGACAAATTTAGATCATTGCACTTTCGCAACACCTTATCTTCACGAGAAAGACATTTACTCTTTATTAATAACGATACAAAATTTTAATCATATTTGAACAAATCTGGTGAATTGCATGGCTTTATCCAAGGATACAGTATGATAAGTTTAGTTGAAAATGGCCCAATGTTTCTGGAGAAGATGTAAACCTAAAAAGGTGTGCATTCAACAGCATAGCTGCTACATAAAGCTATGCTCTAGAATTAAGAGCTTGCCTAGCCACTACATAGAGAGAGCTAGCAAAAATTTCCAATGCCAAGTACCAAATCCAAGATGGCCTCCAGGTTACAACTTGGAAATAAATATTAACAAAAAAAGCATTATTTTCTACATCTGAGGGAATTGAAATTGTAGATTTACATATATTTTTTCGCTTGAAATAAACTTTTTGTTCCAAAAATAAATTTTTACAGACACATTTTTATCAGAAATCTAACCTTTAGCGGTTAAGCTAGTTGTCCGTTTGGTTGAGATAGATATCTAACAGGATCTTAAACACACTCCTAGACTTTAGTCTTACTAAAATAAATGCAACAACTAGGCTAATAGGACATCTCATCAGTGGTTCAAATACTGGTAGATACTTCAATCTATTGATGACCCTGCATACCCAATGTCAATACCCTACATTCAGAACCATGTGTCTAAACACTGTGTTCCACATATTTTCAGGATGTTTTTTTAACTTTGTCAAATACAGATGTAATTACCCCCTCCCTTCATTATGGATTTTGAAAAGCATCAGCATGGTTCTGTGCCCATCCATGCCTTCTTGACAAGCTGTATATCAACACTGATCAAACTTGAATGATTCTCTATTACAACATTGCTGTGTTGACAAGGGGGGACTAACAGAAAGTAAGAACTGTTACATGTAATTGCCAATATTTGTTGCCTTTAAAGCAACTCCTTTTTTTACATGGTGGAAAAATAGAAAACACATAATAATTTTACATTAGGAATTTATTCCATTTCAGTTGAACTTCTCACTCACTTACGTACACAACTGACTCTAAACCCAGACACAAGGTTTGTGCTCATTGTAACTTCATAATACTATTCCCCAAGACAACATGCTATCAGTCTACATTACAAAACTGAACAGATTCCTGATGACTACTTTTCATTACAAAAGATTTGTGCTCTGGAGTATGCCTAAAAGAATTTAAAACCTTCCTAAAATTATCTTTACAATGATAACACCAGTTTAGAAGTCCAGAAATTATAATGATCAGTAATTGTCAGTGTTGAATGGTTTAACTTTTTGATTTCATTGGAGTTTGGCCTATTTGTACGTGTATGTATAATGTACATTGGTTGCTGACAAGTGTCAATGCAAGGTAACTATAAAGCAACAACATGGGTTATAGGTACAATAAATGATCTCCCTTGTGTATGATGTATAGATAAAGCCATCAAGATTATAAATCCACCTGGCAACAATAAACACACATTGAAATATATGCATATTGTGTGCATACAGTTTACCAATTTTTTTATCTTTAATTTGAAAATCTATGTTTAATAAAATAATCAAATAATTTGTTTCCCATTTTTGAGATGCTGTTGCCTGCTTGTACTTGTATAATCTATGAATGGCCATTGTGTAATTCTTTGTTGTGTAGCAGAATTTTTTTTCCAGTCCAGAGACCTATCAGTCCAAGTTCTTTATTTGATTATTTAATATTTTAAGGGCATTCATTTGAATAACATTGTCAGTAATTCTTTCTTTCCTTTTAATATTTTTTATTTCATATGTTTTCTTTTTATGTAATAATCTTTTGACCATCTGCTCGTGAATAATTTTTTGTTTTGTAAAGATTTTACTTACAATAATAAGAAACCATGAACGTTTTGTCATGATTCTAAAAACAAAATAATTTTCTTACCAAAATAAGGTGTCTTTAAAATTTTGTCATCGTATCAAGAGTATCGCAAATGTGTGAACAATGAAAATGGCAAAAAATAAGTTACAGCTACTGCATTGCAGAAAAGGAGAAATTGCTTTTTCCACATAAGAATGTAAATAACCTTTTCTATTTTAAAAGCTAAATAGACTATTATGTAAACACTTCCATATGTTTATGTAATATAGATTATCATAAATAATTTTTAGAAAAAAAATTCTAAAATTCCTCCTTTTAAATTTACTGGTCTCCATCATTTTAACCTGTGTAGCTTCCCTTATAAGATTGTAAGGAAAGAAGATGTATTATTAAAGCATGACCTAATGAATAAAACGTGTACAGACTATGCTTTATTCAACTGTTTAAAGAAAGAAGAAAATTGTGGAACTTCAGTAAAATTTACATTTTCATTTTTTTAAGATGAATGCAAATACCAATTAGGTCTCTTTTACCTTAAGAGAAAAAAAAATTATAAAGTAAGCAAAAGAAACAAAATATACACATGTAAAAAAAATTGTTTTGCAGAGCACAAATGCACTGATGGTTTGGGTTATAAATCACATACTTCTCTTTCTTGCTACTTGAAAAACATAACATCCGTTTGGAATGGCCTTATAGTACTGGACTCCTACATGTAGCATAAATGGATAGCACATACTATAATATCACAGCGGATAGGCAAATCCAATATTGGGGAACAAGAATTCTCATGATATAATAAATCGTACACATTAAGAGAAAAAAAAAACACTGTAGCAAATGAAATACCATGTGCCACGATTAAGATTTTCATACAAGAACTTAGTGTATCAGTTTTGTCGATAATGACAAGTAACACTAAAACTTTCAATGAATTAATAGACCAGTGAAACAAAAAATCATTTACAAGCAATAAATATTATTTATACTAACACATATCCATTGTCTTTTGGATTTAGTAATTCTGAATAAAGATCAAACTGCAGGGCCTGCCTCAATGTGGAGGTGGCTCACGATCTGACATTTGAGATGTTGGCATTGGCTTAAACATTGCTTTCTTAACAGCAGCAGGGTTCATTCTATTGTCTCTTTGACCAGCTGACATGGGTCGCCCAGGAAGGGGTACAGGGTTACTTGACCCCATGCTTGCTCCTGCTAATGCAGACACTGGGTTAGCCCCGGGGTGTGAATTATACATGGAGACCCCTCCATGAGAACTGTGACCTTGTCGTACAGGAGTGGCTCCTTGAGATGATCCCCCACGTGGTGCCGATACTGTCGATCCATTAGCACCACCACCACCTCCGCCAGCTGACTGCGTCTTGGCCGCTGTTGTAGAACTATTCTTTTCTGAGGGCAATGGCTTTGTAGTGGGAGCTTTGTTCTGTGTGGTAGGATTTGATGGTGATACACTGTCTTGCGCCTCGTTACTTGAGGGAGTCAGTCGGGGACCCTCCTCTTCTAAACAAACTGATGCCTCCTCTAACACATGAAGTTGCTCTGTCAGTGTTGACAACAACAGTTCTTGTACAAATATACTCCTATCATATGCCTCCTGGCCTACACTTTTGCAAGAATTCTCAGCATTTTCCATACACCTAAAGATAATGTCGAATGTTTTAACACTTTAATAAAACAAACACTAAGAAACAACTAAATGTAGTTATAAAAGATTATCTTAAGCATGTTAAACTTAAACTGGCTCTTTAAAGATTTCCTACAATGAAAATTACTGATTTGTTTTTACTAACCTGACCAATAAATACGGAGAGTTTGACTTTGCGGCATTGCTACTGCTGGCCTGGGTCTGTCCTCCCTGGTTATCTGTGGAACTCCCTGAATTAGCTGAATTCGTAACATTACTTTTACTGGACTCCACTTGACGACGATTTGGAAGTCTCTCTAGTTGTTGTCTGTAGGGTAGATAAGAGTGTTGTGAGCTCTCCAAACTACAGTCAGAATTGAAAGTAATGTAGGATTTCACTCCCTCCACTTCCCCATTAATAAATACTATTTTACGTTAAACTCTTATTTTTCAATAAGTTAACTCTAACATCAATTTTACTGCTTTAACAACACAGTTAATTCCCCTTTGGGAGAACATTTAGCTCTTCAGAAGTATCTTTCCTTCTGGTTGACAACCTTTTGCATATCTGACAAGACTTACATGGACAGAATTCATCAAATCGAAAGAAGTAAAATCCCCAATAACCAATGTTAGATTAACTACTCTGGTAAGACTTTGAATCCGTACCTAGTGGACTGTAATTGCATCTCTAGCTGTTGTAACTGTGAGGACACGCTCTGAGCTGCAGCAGCCCGACTTCGAACACTAGACAACTGAGACAGAAGCTCAGCGATGGGATCCATGGTATCACGTGTGCCCGGAGACAAGCCCGACAGGGCCGAGCCTCCCGAGGAAAAATGCATGTTAGCTCTCCGTGTTCTCGTACCACTAACACCTCGCCCAGGGTGGGGTATTCTACGGACATGTCTTATTCCTGCTGGTTCATCGTAAGTTACGTTAAGGAAAAATAGCAAAGATACAGATACATGTATATTGTAATCATTATATAACAAGGTAAAAATCTTACAATGATCTCTAAAAAACAGATTTCTTAAAACTAATGATGTGTACAAAAGGCAGACCTGTTTACCAATAAGGTTGTTTCTCAGTATTTTTGATTAGATTTGTCTGTGAGATTTTGCATATGTCAGTAAGATTTTACTTTCCATTGATTTAACATATATTAAAAGATAACAACTGCTTTTCTGATTACAAAAACATGGTTTAACAACATGGTCTTTGTCATTCTAAAATACCACAGCGTTTTGGCAACCCGACGTCATTTATATGTTTGAAATCTTTCTCTTGTTTAGCGATTAAAATGTGTGAATCTAAGAAAGATCATAACGAAAACCAACTGCTAAATTCCGAATGAACATATTTCCAATTCCCGTATTTTCATGATAGTAAAACGTGAGACGTATTTTAAACTAAAAATCTGTACAAAATATGAAATCCTAAGAGTAAACTCGTCTGAAAAGGATATAAATTCTCTTGGTGTTCTGTGTTGTATTGAGAGATGTTCTGCGAAATCATCAGTCACACAGTTCGGATCTCCTCCTGGATGTGACGCACAAATGGGACATACCTGTAAAAAATGAAAGGTTGAATGGCAACACTGCAAAAACTATTCCAATAAATGTAAAGCTTAAAAAAATCTTTGACAACATTTTATTAACATTTTTATTGATGAAAATACATATCTTCATGGTAATTTGCATTTTTCAAACAGAAAAACATTAATATACAAAATCCATACATTTGAAGCTTAATTAAATGTAAATAATAATACTGCGAGTCGTTTTAATTCCACGGTGTTAAAATTTTCCGATTTCTCAAAAAGAACCAATCATGATGGTTTTAATTTTAGGCTCCAAGAAATTTACATGTAGTTTAAATTTTGTGTAAGCCTTTAAGCTTTCTTATAAACTAGAGATAGCATTCACGATCAGATTAATTTCGCGGGAAAATTATGATTTGCAAACATAGTGAAATTCAAATCACAGATATTATTTTCCAATCTACAGTATATGGTATACAGTTCTGTTTTGATACTGACCACTTCCGTAGATGCCTCTCCATGCTCTGAAGTGACATGGTCATGTAATGTGGCATCTGTATATCCCATCTTCCCACAGTAGGGACAAGTGAAAGACTGAGGTTGTTCTGCTGTTAAAGCTTCTCCTCCATAATACAAGTCTGTAACAGAAAATATTAACAATATCTGTTACTTGAAACATACTGATAGATTCAACATTATAAAAATATTTTAGAAAATCAGTTAGACAAAGCACATCTCTGCAGGAAAGGCTGGCAAATCACACAAAGTGTACACACAAAATAAGTTAAACCTATATTTACATTCTGAATACATGTACTTGTTGTTACATTGTTTTACCAACCAATACTTACAAGATATTAAAATCTGTTTTTAAAAACCCACTTTTAATTGTGATGTTGCAGTATACTTTTGCAATACTTGTATTATGTTTAGCATAAATGTGCAATGCAATGTGAATGAACCATGGAAAAAAGTCTTTTTATTAAGAGCTTTTTAAGTGAATCTACTATTTACCGGTATATAATTTATAGAACTGTCACAGCAAATTCTTGTAAACTTTGGCCATGTAATTCTTCTACACTAAAATAACTAAATAAATTTTCAATACTGGCTGAATGCATTTTTTTCTATGAAGTATTTTCAGTGTGATCCATTAAATATTTGTTTTCCTAAATATTTTAATAAAAATTTCATAAATTTAATTTAAATATGTTCAAAATAAATCAGTGTACATGTAATCATGATAATTATTTTTTCTGTTGAAAAGACTGTATAGTTGGATGAAACAAATTTCATGAATCAAATACAATTACATGACATGTAGCAATAACCAAACATAAAGCACTGAGTTGTTGCTCTACATAATGTTTACATTCATAGAGTTTAGAAAGTATTTTCAATTTTGGTTTTGCATGTGGAATAAAAATGTCATGATTTTTTTTAAAGAAATTAGCATTTTTTTTTTAATTTTTTGTGATTGAAGATCTTTAATCTAAGATATTTTTTTTAAAAACTGATTTTTCTTTTCTTTCATTCTACATATGGTGATGCCTGAAATGATTAATAAATCAATATCTTAGCATAGCTCTTGCAAGAATTTGAAGCTCATACATTTTCAATGAAAGCATACAAGCTGATATGTATCTGCATGTTGATAGTTTGAAATTCATCCACAACTTGCATTACACAATTATGTAGCCACCAATCCTCTTTTTCCTAGAATAAATCTTAACTGAACAAATTTTAGGTACAACTGATAGTATGATACCTTTTTATTTCAATTTGATATTGTGATTCTGCGATTGTGATTGTGCATTCTATTTTTTGAAATACATTTACTGAAATATTTGGCTCCAAGTATTTATTTTACAGACCATGTTTAAAATCATGTTTGTTTGTCCTCTCCCACCCAACTCAGGAAAAAAAATTGAGGTGGGTGGAAAATTTTCCTAGAAAATTTCAATATCAATGCTGAATTTTAAAAATAATGAAAATATATATTTTTTTAAAAGTATTATCCATTCCAAGAGGTAAAAAAAATGTTTTTGAGCAAGTGTTAACCAGTTATTCAGGAGAGGGTAAACAAACAATTTCTTAAAGACATTTATTTATTATCGGCCAATCCCAATTGACTTTTGACTAACTAAGTTTTCTGGAACTTGTGTCCAATCCCTTTGACATATTGTCAATAAAATATGATTAAAACAAACAAACAAAACAAAAAGATTTAGCAGAGGTGATAAGTGATGATTACCAAAGTCATTCCTGGTGAGAATACATTGCATGGGGTGGTCAGCTGTGTGCCTGGTGGTTGTAGCCCCAGCTTCATAGCAGGTCGAGCACAAATCATAGTCGTAACATATCAAACACTTATAGCGACGACCTCGAAAGTTTCCCTTCAGGCAAGAATCACAGCTGACCCCTAAAAAGAAAGAAATAATAAGTTACATCATACAGAAATACGTTCAAAATGCACTATGGTTACAGAACTATCAGTACAGAATATATTCCTTAATGGTTAAAGTTTAATGAAATACCAGAATACAATTTATATTAGCATGATTATAATGTTTAAATCAAAGTCTGTTTCTAGAACTGCAATTCAAAAAAATTAGCTTTTGGACATCGCATCATTACAGTGGATCAAGAAATGTTAGGACTACTTTAATTTGTGTTTGTGGTGTCACAATATTTTTTTTCCATGTGTGTCCATTCCAAATGATATCATACAATTGTTGACATTACAAATGTCTGCTTAACTGGTAGCTACTTATGTTAAAAGGATGAGTATGACCTAACATTAATTTATAGACATTCCATTCTGACAAATGGATTGGAAAAAAATCTACAGGTTATTAGGTACTACTAAAATAAGTGATAAAATTGTTATCAACTGAATATACCAAAAAAAAAAAAATGCCCACCCTTAGCCCTTGTGCCAATTCAGACCTTGCAAGCTCAGTTTGCTTTATTGTGCAAAGACCTACGGGCAAGCATCCAAATAAGCAGTCTATACCTAGAGATATATTCACATTTCCAATGTGTTTGTTCGAGATAAAATTACAAATAGTTAATGTACTTTATTTCTCCATCAATGTACCGGTTCATCGATAGGCGCGGTTAAAAAAAAAATCACATGCAGGGCGGGACAAATAGAGACGTAGATTGGCAGAATCAATACCATGTAAATATAAGGAATAACTGTCAGATTTTTCGATTTCATGACAATGATCAATCGATTGGCTTGCATTATAATTTGCATAAACGCCGAAGACATTTATGCATAAAAATTATCACGCAAGCCGATCAATTGATCACATCAAGAAATCGAAAAATAAGACAGTTATTCCTTAAATATGTCCGGTGTCACTTAAAGGTTTTATAGAATATAAACATGCAATTATCAGATCAGAATTAACATACAGATACTTATGGCTGGGATGCCTTTATTTTTTCTTACATCAATCAAAGGCATATTTTTATACAGTTGGACAGAATGTGTTTAAACTGTTCATGCAGGGTGTTTATGCTCTTATTGATGACTTCTGAGTGATGCACAGATCTGTAGAGTAATAATGACCAGAAGATTTTTAATATGTGCTTTCGAAGTTACAAAATGAAACAAGAGAAAACTGATGAATGTCCAGTAATCCTCCAGCTTTATTTCAGAAGTTCTTAAAATACATGCTTGTCTGATGAAAACAACTACGCAATGGGATATCATGTACTAGTTTCGTTTTACAGCTTCCGTTTTCAGACTACATTTGCAGAAACTGGCATACAAATAACAAGTGTTCTTTCTACTCTCAACGATCAATAAACCTTCCACTGTCATAACTCATAGCTTTTTTCTTTCAATCATTTTTCTTTAAAAGTAACAGCTTACAAGGAAACAGAAGTTCGGTTTGCAGTTGCCATTTTGGATATTTGAGAAATTATGACTTACCCTCATGACGAGACATTCTATACTGAGACGGGGAAAAGGCCTCTTAGACCAATGCAGTTTTGTTATTTGACGATTCTACTCTCAGATACAATTAAAAAAGATTGTAATTAATTAAACAGAAGCTTAATTCAGATAATTCCAAGGTTACATTCTTGGCAAGTGGGTTTTATGATGACGTCACGTAGTTTCTCGTTGAAGCACGAGACATATTCATGTTAAAAATTATATGTGTTAGATTTTTTAAAGAATATTCTAGTAAATATATTTATTCATTTCTCAAACCTAAAGTAAGTTCAATTTATTTTTCTGTTATAAAATAACATTTTTAATAAGAAAATCTACGTTCTTCAAGCGTTTCAAACTTTTATAAAATTAAAGAAATTACGAACCCGATAATATTTAATTTTCAAAGAGTTTCACCCAGAGAAATATTATACGCATATCGAATATGATTTAGTAAGAAAATAAGGAATGTGAATGCTACATAAAGAATAATACGATGTTAAGTCTCTCACTGCATCAAATAATGTTACAATCAGTTGATTCTTAAAATCATTCATCGGGATCGAAATTCTGAAGAAAAAAATAAGTTTTCAAGTCTTGATGGGTGACTGGAAATTCCAGAAGCCCCCCGTTTTTTGGAGAATACCCATACAGAAGGGTAGAAGCCCCAATAAAGTGGTAGAAGCCCCATAAAATTGAATAATTTGGGGTACATAAAACCCTAAGGTGATGTTTAAATGAATGTTATTGATATCTGTAAATTTTTATAGCCAATTTTACCTCCGAGTCGACAGAAATCGGGCGCCATTACGGGTTTACCGTACACCACGCCCGATCTAATTTCGAAGCGAGCTGCTGGATAAAGTTAAAATAATTCATTTTAATTTTAATATGTTTGTTATGCAAGATATATATATAAAATATTATGTAATACATATCTTTTAAAAAATTTTAGGACGTTAGCCATGAAGATAATATGAATTTGTGTATAAATTATTCATATTATCCCAATGTTACCAGCTCTAACCAGGTGGAGGCCTCATTTTTGTAGAGCCATAATTTAAGATTTCTTTTATTTTTGAGATTTTAGAGAAAATCTGAATTTAGAGATATAAACATACCCAAAAGCTTCAAAGCAACAATAATAATAAAAAATAGTAATGATAATTAATTAATTAATAATTACTTTTATGTTTCAAAGAGAACAAAAAAAAACAAATTTCAAAATATGAAAATACTGAATTTATTTTTGAGATTTTAGACAAATTATGAATTTAGAGATATAAAAATATGAAATTCAAAGGTTCAAAGCAACAATAATAATTAAAAATAAAAATAATGATTACTTAAATGTTAAAAGAGAACAAAAAATAAATCAATGCCAAAATATGAAAATACTGAAACCTGGAAAGAAACAGTAGATTTAAAAAATACATCAATTTTCAAATATATAGTTCAAATAACGGTATATAGATATTTTATTTCAAAGTAACCTTTTTATGTTCTTTTCTTAGAAAAAAGTCAGATGTTTTAAATATTTTACATCAGATGTTTACATTTTTAATTGTCTTTAAATTAAAACAAATATGAAAAAAAAAAATAAAGATAGAAAAGTGAACTGAAAATCTTTTATCATCTCCAAGCATAGGTATTTTATGTAATTTTACATTTCATTGCCAGTTGAATCTGTCGACTACAAATTTCCATTGCCTCTCTGTTCAAACTAATCCCATTGACATGCCAAATGTTTTAATTCGAATTCATTAAACCCCTACATCTCCAAAATATCACATTCTGAGAATTTCCATATTTCCTTTGTAGTGTGTTTGCGTTATTTATGTCAAAAACTGTTGAATTGTAATTTCCTGGATCAATGGTTCCACAAATCATTTGCCTAAACAGACTTCCAATAAATATTTTTTGAACCGAATCGTTTCTTAACAGTTTTTCAATAATGATTTGGATTCCTAACAGTATTTCTGACACAGAAGATGAATTTATATCTTTTTCTCCCACTTGTAGAAACACTTTTGTTGGACAAAATTCAACTGCTCTTCCAAAAGATTGACTATAAATAAAGCTTTTTGTTGTAGTATCTTTGTCACTAAAAAATTGAATTGAATAATAATTTGGCAACTGAAAATTCACAGAACCATTTGCTACACTATTCCCTAATTCTAACACATGATTTTGACCAATTACCGCAATTCGTTCTGAATAAGTAATAGATGGAACAGGTGACTGAGGAGATGTAGGGGTTTCTACAGAGGAAGCTGTTGTAGGACCTGTTGGGAGAGTAATTAAGGGAGCTGCTGAAGGACTTAGGAGGAGAGAGGGGAGATGCAGAGCGAGGAGGAGGTGGAGGAGGAGAGGAAATAGATAGCTTAGTGACATCTGGCAATAGTTTAGTCAAGTCAGTCGTTCAGGGGAAAGAGATCAGGGGACATATGCTTTAAAATCATAATGTATGGTATGAAACTTAATAAAATACGTCAACTTGAATAATGTGAGGCATTTTGAAAATTATCAAGTTACTTTCATATCCCAAAATCTGCAAGTTCTCATGAATTTTACTTTCATGGCTTCATGAGGAATCGATTTTGTTTTTAAAATATTTTTTTTTAAATTCCAGCACTGTATGAAATAAACAATATATTTAATATCAAGCAAGGATCTTGTATAAAGTGCTTATCATTGATATCAATATCGGTATGTGTATAAGTTTACACAGACCAGGCACATCTCAAAATCTGAATATGAACTATTAGATATTTAAAAATAAAACCATTTTTTAAAATTGTATAAGTAAATAAAAAGATGATTTGAGTTGATTTTTTCTACCCTTTTGAAAAAAAATAATAGAAAAAGTTTCAGTTCGGTTTCAGCATGCGGAAACCATATGGAATCTAAATCAATAATAAACAGATCATATGTGAGTTGATTTTTCTACCCTTTTGAAAAAAAAAATAATAGAAAAAGTTTCAGTTCGGTTTCAGCATGCGGAAACCATATGGAATCGAAATCAATAGTTTCCGGAAACTGAAACCTATACTCAAACTAGAAAGTATCGTTAGATTGACATTTCATTAAATTTTACATTGGTTTTCGTTTTGCGGAAACTATTTGGAAACAAACCTAATAGTTTCAGTATACGGAAACCCTACAGAAACTTGCTGAAACTATTATATAGTTTCCGCATCGCGGAAACCAAACAGGAAACTTCAACGCCAAGTTTCAGCAAAGTTTCCGTATAGTTTCAGTTTTGCGGAAACTGGACTTTTCACCCAATGGGTCTTTATTAATTTATCATTATTATTAGTATCAAAATTCATATTTTCCTTATGTGTGTGCTAACGTCCCTAAAATGAAATCTGAATTTAAAGCATATTACCAGTTCATATCACCAGTATTTAAAAAAAAATTATATTACAAAACCATTTATTTTACAATTTGATAATGAAAGTCAAGAACAATTGAGCATAGTTAATGATCAGTGTATATACACATGCCCTGCCAGAGGGGGGTTAATTGGTCAGACTAGCTGAGAACAGGTGTTTGAACAAAAGGAGTTTATTGTTAACTTGACCAAGTGTCAACAGCTGTGTATATAGTGCATGTACACACACAGGGGTGCCTCTCTATCCCAGTACAAAACAACACAGCTAGCTGATGTGTAAATAATATTCTCACCATATTCTCATAATACCCACTTTACAAGTGTTTGCATATGCAGTTATGCACATTTTTATGAAAGTTTTTTTTATTTCATAAACCTGGATTTAATTTTATTATAATGGATACATATACTTTTTAATATCAATGAGTATAATTTTTTCTACTACATGCACACAGAAAAGTTAATTAAAAAAAGACCGCCTCCAAATAAAACAGAACCAAAAAGAAAAAAAAAATTACAGCAAATCTAAGTAACTGGAAAATAATAATGAATGCATGGATACTGAATTTCAAATTTAAATAAACATAGAAGGAAAACAATCCAAAATAAATACCTTAGAAATTAAATGAATTAACAACTTGATTCAGAGACATATGTCTCTGCTTGATTCATTAAACTTAATTATATATTATAAATGATTGGAATGTAAATTAATTGATTAATTGCCTAGTTAAATTCATTTCAAAAACCCAATCAATTAGTATTTTCACTGTAATGTCTATCAACAGGTTATATCTCAATGTTTTTATGTAACAGTACACATCAGCTATACAAATATTTTCATATTTTCCATAACTATTTTCGATATAAAATTCTTTTTTTTTTTTAGGTACAAACCAGGGTGGATAAAAGTATTCAAGTAGGCCATGAAATATGTTCATAATAAATATTTTATTTCATTTAGGAAATATCATATGTAAATATGTAATGCTTCATTTATATTCTTAACTTTCCTTTCATATTTATATATATATTTTTTGAAAATAAAATCATATATTATATTATTCACTTTTGATCAAGATTACGCTAATGACTTCAGCGATCGCGATTTTAGATCGGGCGTGGTGTACGGTATATGAAGAAAAGAAGAAATGGCGCCTGATATCGGTCGACTCGAGGGTAAAATTGGCTATAAAAATTTACGGATATCAATAACATTCATTTAAACATCACCTTAGGGTTTTATGTACCCCAAATTATTCAATTTTATGGGGCTTCTACCACTTTATTGGGGCTTCTACCCTTCTGTATGGGTATTCTCCAAAAAACGGGGGGCTTCTGGAATTTCCAGTTACCGAGTCTTGATTCAACATTGATTTCATTGAAATCGACCTGCCAGATAAGTCACGCTTGAGAAACATCATGTCTTGTGCCGGTAGAATTTTAATTTACGGTGGTAAAGGTGCTTTAGGCTCAACTTGCGTTAGCACATTCAAGGCTCAAAACTATGTACGTTCTTTTGCTTACGGAATTGCTCAGTTGTTTGCTATTTTATACAATGTTTACAGTTCAGAATTGTTGGTTAATGCACATGCACATGAATTTTTATCAATAAGTCGCTAAATTTAGCGACTTATTGATAAAAATTCAAGTGCCTGTGGTTAATGGTTGATTTTGCATGATTACTATTCCTGTATTCCATATGCTCAATTAGTCCTTTTAAAAATTGAGATTGAAAAAGAGGCAAATAAATTAAAAAGTTTTAATCATAATTCAGGAAGCCCATGATCAGCTGCTAAAATGGTAGCTGCAGAACTGTAGCTCTGAAAAAAAAATAAATTGACAGACCGGAGAGCTACAGTGCCACCCATTGAACAAATTGTATAATAATTGCGCACCAAAAGGTGCTCTGTTTCTCAATTTATTTCACCTTGTTTTTAAAACTTAATCTCAGAATATTACTAACCGTGTGTTCCTAATATATTCTTTCACTGTTTCCACAACAAAACATTCCTTATAATTCTTTTTAAAAGCCCTCCTGACCCTGAAATTGAGATCATCGAAAATTTGGTGTATTTATACTGCCATTTTGATTTGCAAGATAATTCGGTCCAGTGCGCTTCGTGAAGATGTCAACAACGAGAGTACTTATAGAGGAGTAAGGAATTGTTTGAAATCTAGCTATTTTGCAGTAGAGATAAGAATTTGATAGAATTAATCCAGAACCAAGCGCAACTTTTTGTGCGCAATAAATATACAGTTTTTTCAATGGGTGGCACTGTAGCTGTCCGGTCTGTCAATATTTTTTTCGAAGAGCTACAGTTCTGCAGCTACTAAAATGGCAAAGCACTGATACAATGTAAGTACTCACATTCATGTTAGGGGATGGAATGATACACCTTCAAGATACATGTAATATGTCCAACATTGAAACCGTGAGGGTGAGCGCAGTTCATTTTTGTACATCTCTACACACCTTGTCGTTTTACATTCTGGGGCGGAATTCATAAAGATACTAAAGATTAGTGCTTAGATACACACTTAAGTATAAATAAATTCTTTGTTAAGAAAAAAATCTAAAGTCATATTCATAAAAATTCTAAGGGTAATTTTTAGCAAAGTTTAATTCTGAGAAAATTATAGCACTTAAGTGAAGTCACCATAGTAACGCATGGAAATTCCCGAACAAAAGTGCACTCTTTTGTGATGGAGGTATTTAGTTCTATGTGTATTACATCATAGCTGAAATGTACAAGCTTGTCATCAACATTGCAGATTTACATCTTAACAGTTTATAAATATATCAAAGTCAAAATGAGCTTTTATTTAGATGTTTTATCATGAATTCATAATTTAAAAAAATTGAAATGTCTTCTGTTCACTATTGTTTTTACACAGATAAAGAAAACTTAAGAATTTCTTATCTACTTAAAACACCTCCTGGGGATACTTAACTTTAAGTCAATACTTAAGCACTAAGTATGTTTATGAATTACACTTAAATATTTCTGCTAAATTTAAGTAAAACTTTAGGAAATTAAGTAAATTTACATAGCTTAAGTGAATTTTTAAACTTAAAAATATACGTAGAAGTTTTATGAATTCCGCTTATTATATTTTTCATTAAACTCCTTTAGTATGCATTTACTGTGTATCATACATGAATATCCATCTTTTTTAAACAATATTGAAATAGTTGCAGACTCTTCTTGAATCAGAATCAATATTCCTAATTTCTTTTTTTTGACAAGTCTGAGTTGTTGAAGTGACAAAATTAATGATGTCACATACAAGATCATGTTTACTGAGGATAAAAACGAAAGTCTTGTATGCAGTTGAACCATGAAAATTGCATTCAATAATTTATCACATTTTTTTTTCAAGCAAGTTTTTGCTATTGTATGAATTTTGGCTGGACTGAGGACATTGGCCTGGATAGCTCAGTGGTTAGAGCACCTGACTAGAAATACAGGGTTCCCGGGTTTGATTCCCTGTCCAGCCATATGTTTTCAATATACAGTATTATATATGAATTTTCAATGTATGTTTACTCATTCCTCCTTTCCAAACTACAGATGGTGCCGTGGCCTTGGTACCTTGTTCAGGCAATATATAATGTATAATTACTGTTAAGTCCTGACAAGGTGAACTTGAATTGTGTCTTCAAGGTCGAAGACTATTCAAGGAGGGGGAATGCAGGAATTTTGCTGGACTGAGGACATCACCCTGGATAGCTCAGTGGTTAGAGCACCTCACTAGAAATACAGGGGTCCCGGGTTTGATTCCCGGTCCAGCCGTATGTTTTCAATTTATGTGTATTTATGAATTTTCAATGTATTTTTACTCATTCCTCCTTTCCACACTACACTATAATGCTTACGCCACCTTGTTGCTAATTACCATTAAGGATTATTGGGAGTTTGGGAATTTTTTCACGTGGACTCGCACAAAAATTTCTTTGAACAATGTGCAGATTTCAACTCGAATTTCCTCCGAATGTACATCTTACCAATGGAGCTAGCTACTCCATAATGGTCACATATATTTTCTACATATGGGTGACTGCAGACAAAATAAAATAATTTGCATTCATGATTCAACATCTTCAACTTACCCTAACTTGCTTACAAAGACATGATTTTTAATTACTAACAACAACCTAGCCTTTTATTTCATCCTCAGCAGCAGTGACAGTTCTTGCATGATTAAGTGATTAAGATGCATTTTACACCAGCTTTCTGACACTTTATATGCAGGTTGAAATAAGGTGTAAAGTTTATGACACTCTCCCAATCATTACAGCTCAAGTTTGCAGTGACTTGACATCATTTTCAATTGTGATGTCATGCATTTATAGTTAAGAGAAGTGAATGCACAGAGTACACTGCAATATTCTCTAGGAAGCCTTACCGTACCTGGGTATATAGGTTTTTACCCAAAGTTTCCTCCATTTGTACAATCTTAAGACTTTGCAGCTCTTCCTGTGCTTGCTCTAATAGATAAAATTTGCTGATGAAAAACAGCATGCCACATTGACTCAAGTAATTGTGGCTCATGGGACACTTGTTTCTCACCTTCTTTCAATAGGTCTTAAATGTACAAGTTTATCAAAAATCCTTCAAACTAGAACCCAATAAAAGCAGGGTAAATGCATCACAAAATCAAATTTTTATGTTTGTTGATTAGCCTAATTTTGATTTGTTTTTTTCAGTGGGTTGGTTCCATTGATTTGATGCCAAATGAACAAGCTGATGCCAATGTTGTTGTAAAACCAAGTGAATCATGGTTAAGCCAGGAGGAGGAAGTCCTTAAAGGGGTAGAAAGCATAATTGGAGGCGAGAAACTAGACGCAGTTCTGTGTGTGGCTGGGGGGTGGGCAGGAGGAAATGCAGCCTCCAAAGGTAAATATGAAATCAGAAACAAGAATTTAGTTTTACTAAACATAGCAACTATTGATGACAGTACTTTTTAGCTCGTGAGCTTTTCTGATAATTCATCTGTTCATCTGTCCGTGATATTTTTCACATTTTCAACTTCTTCCTCTGAAGCTCTGGACCATTTTCAAATAACCTTGACACAAAGCATCACTGGATGAAGGAAATTCAAATTTATTCAAATAAAGGGCCATGCCCTCTTCTAAGGGAAGATGAATACACAAGTTTCAAGATAGTAACTCTCCTATGATAGAGGCCCAAAAATATCCATATCTCCATGGAAATGGAACAGGTGGTGATGTACACCATAACACGTTCACAAATGAATGAATGATGGCTAGCCAGCTGGGGCTTTTTGAATCATTTAAAATAAATGTTATTGAAAGATAAAATTGTCAATGGGTTTTCTTGCATAACTTACAAACTGAAGTGTATTCAAAGAAAAATATTATGTCTAGAATATCTTTCATTCAATGCGTTTCAGATTTTATTAAGAATGCTGACATGATGTGGAAACAGAGTGTGTGGACCAGTTCAATTGCTGCAGCATTGGCAGCTAAACACCTCAAAGAAGGAGGGCTGATCACACTTCCAGGGGCAGCTCCCTGTGTCAAAGGCACCTCAGGTCACTTACTTTGTCCTCTATAGAAGAATATTTTCCTAAATGCAGAGATAAAATATAAAAAGAACTATATGCGGTATATTGCATATGTTTGCCCCCATAAAAGTCAAATTATGAAAACTTCCTGAAATGTGCTGAATTCAATAAATTGTACGAGAAATATAAGTTAACAGAAAATATTATAGTTCCAGAGCAGTGTATTCACAATTTCTGTTTTTATGACGTCACAAACTAGTCCGATTTTATATCCTTTTCCAGAAAGAGGACAAAATGGACAAAATTTCAACAATTTAAGCTTTAAAATTTATAGTGTCAGGAACAATATTGACATATTTCATTGATATTATCATTCTACACATTATATCAAAATATTTATCCTGAACACACATGCGCTCACTTTTATTCAAAATATCGACGAAATATGTACATTTTTCTGCAAAATTCATAAAAAACTGAAATTACGATATTTGTGATTTTACATATGACGTCATTACTTATGAAATTATTCTGTGCTTTGAAGTCAGCATATACTCCCCTGTCTAAGGACTTAGTTAAATATTACTCCATCAAAGTTTGATTTTGGGGGGCAAATGTTGGTTAATACCGCATATAGTTCTTTCTCAAAGCTCTATCACTTGTTCTTGTATTTAGTATTACTAGATAACTGTGAGCAATATATACTGGTTTTGGCATTTACACAAAGTGCTTTCAATATGCTCCATAGAACATTCATGTTTTGAGGTTTATTACTTTTAAAAAAATAGGTGGAAGAAGTACAAAATTTTCCATTCAAAATTCTTTTGATTTGCAGGCATGATGGGATATGGGATGGCTAAAGCTGCAGTCCACCAGTTAGTGAAAAGTCTGGCCTCCAAAGGCAGTGGCCTACCCGCTGATTCCGCAGCACTTGCCATATTGCCGTAAGAGAAATGATTATACTGTTAAAGCAACCAAATCCTCTCACAGTTTGGCAGATTTTTAATTCTGATATATTTAAGATTTTTTGTGAAAACCTTATAATTTTAAGTGTTTTGTAAATTCACATGATGAAAAATGGAGTTCAGTACCTGTATTTCAGATTTTACTACATCTACTACATATTTAAGGACCTTGCTTTATTTCAGGGTCACACTCGATACCCCCATGAATAGGAAGTTCATGTCTGAGGCTGACTTTTCTACTTGGACTCCATTAGCATTTGTAGCAGAGTAAGTGATTAGCAAAATAATCTACAAGTACATATGATAGTGGCTCATTTGAGTCTTAGACATTAAGACTGTGATATAACAAAAATAGCCTGATTTTACACAGTTATTGCCCTTATCAAATTCATTTTTTAAAAATTCTTTAAACATGTATAAAATTTGAAAATTATTGTGTCTTGTTCTTTACTAGGTTGTTTATTAAATGGACCTCTGACAGCTCCTCCCGTCCTGAGAATGGCAGTCTAGTCAAACTGGTCACCAAAGAGGGTAACACAGAACTCCAGCAGGTGTAACAACACAGTGCCTTACTCCGGGGACAGGTGTGCCTTACCCTGACAACAGGCTGTACTTGGTAGAGGGCTAAGGGCTGGAACTATATTCAATCCATAGTGCTGCATAACCATTTGTTGTTCATGTGACAGTATTTGTAAGTCCATTGTCTCAGTGTATGCATTTTAATACACATTAGGTTTTACTTTAATATGTTGTTAAGCTATATCAGAGATTTGTAAAAATACTCTGAAAATATATTTGGAATACTTTTTTGTTCATCATGTTGATGTTCCTTCCAAAACAAAAAGAAATAGTCAATGATTTTGTACAGTATTAACTTTTTTCTATTGTGGATTTTTAAAACATTTTGATATTCACTCATAGAATTCATTCATTGGCAGCATTTGAAGCACACATGAACAAATGTTTTAAGGGTTTTTTTTCATCGCAAGTTGATCCTTTGTGGGATTTGATGTGTACGTGGTGATATTTAATTTTAAAAGTTTTTTTTTCATGCAGGAAAAAACCAATGTAAAAATAATTTTTTGTTTGAAATTTACCAGTAACGTGAGGAACTTTTTTAATAACCTATAATTCTTTTGCAGTATAGACTTTGAAATGAATGGTCGGAATATTACTTTTTAAAATAGTGTTTTCCATCACTTTAGGTACTTAGATTTATTAAAATTAAATTTAATATATATAAAACAGAAGATAGCGGTATAATATTTTGAAAACTTATTGTTAATTTTGGATTTAAATGCAGCTTACTTGGAACCACTTACTTGGTTATAATATTTTACATGTGTGCCAAGTTTTTTTTTTTTTTTTTTTTTAATACATGTATATTTTTCAGAGCATAATTCAAACTGCTGACATTCCATTTTTGTGATTGTATAATCATGTACTCTGTGTATGTCTGTATTAATATGGTGAAAATTATGAGTAAATTTTCCATATCATCTTAAACTCTTTATTTGTTTATCGAAAGATCTATCAATGGTAGAAAGCATGAAATCAGTTATTTTAATGGATATACATTTGTATCCTGACAGACCCAATGAGGAACCAACATGAAATGCATCAGGTTTTTCTGCCTTGGCCACCAAAGAGGGAACAGTTAAGATTTCAGAAATTTGGTACTACACATATTATGAAAACAGCTGTAAAAAAATATAACATTGACATACTGTGAACCAACTTTTATTCATAACATCTTCTATTTGCAATTCTTCAGTTTGGAATCCATTCAAACTAGGCTACTTTATGTTCTAATTCGTTTCACTCAAACGAACATAAATTTACAATCAAAACAAGAACACTTGTCTATATAGGAATGGAAGCACTTGCTTGCCAGTATTTATTAGACGTATACATTTTACAAAACACAAGTCTTCAATGGTACCGATTCTCTACCTTCCTTCTACAATATGTCAAAAAACAATTAATCACACATCACACATCACAGTACAAAATGCATTTTAACACAATGCTTTTATATGTCCTCACTTCACTGATTAAAAACATAATATAATGCATGTATGAACAAAATTATGCTTCCCTCGCCGCCCAGGAAAAACCATAGATAAAAAACAACATCGATTTATGTTGAAAAAACTATGGAAACCTGTAAGTCCGCAGCAATTGCAAGGTAAACAAAATGAATGGCGGACTCATTCTCACAAACTTACGTAAAGTGTCATAAATTGTAATGTACAATTAATCGACTAGTTTAAGTAAAACCTATGCAAAATAAACGTAAGTTAGAACTATCTGTAAACACATTTCGACTATATGTAGCTAATATATGTACCATTTTACATAAAATTATCTAGAGTGACTAAGCAAATTGTTTCCCATCTTTGACAATTAATCTGTTGTGTACAAAACTTTTAAATTTCTGTGATGAAAACAATTTGATCAATCCAAAAAAGTTTTTTTTTTTTTTTTTAAACTTTCTTTATTAAACAAAATACAAGTAAGAGGGTGAAGTAAGAGGGTGGGTGAGTGGGTGTGAATGTTGCAAAGCAAAGCCTTCGAATGAGTTTAAAGCGTGATTAAATTGAATACCTGTTCACCTGTTCTACAGGTATCCCCTTAGCAAAATCAAATTGATTGAATTTTGATTTATTTTGTAGTTGTTTTCTGAGCATTGGATTTTCATTGTTTTTTGATTTGCAAAGAAATCAACTGTGCCTCCTTGCTAAATTGTATGGGAAAAAAGCATTGAAATAGCATTGAACATTGGATTTTGATTTATTTTGCATTGACTTTTGATTGAAAATGGCTGGATTTTTGCGAAATATGTAAATGAGATGAAGGATTAATTTGACATCACGGAAAAATGCAAAATCAATGCAAAACAAATGAAATACAGTATGAAGCATTTATTTGATGTCACTTAGCATTATTTTGACATCACAGAAAAATGTTAAAGTAATACATATAAAACATTTAAGTGATGCTATGAAACTTGAGAAGTAACATAGAATAAATACATTGGTAACAAACAATATCCAGCATCATGCTCAATGCAAACATTATTACTAATAATCCATCACATGTATCTTTACCAAAATTTTGAATACTTATATCTTAAACATTCACCAGTACACATGGTACAGTTATAAATTCAAGTTAATGAATTACTTACTTCCTATTAAATTAAATGTTACACTTGAATGTTTAATTGTGAGACATGAATAACACCCAAAAATCACTGACACAATAACAGTATAGTTCCATACATAAATCACATATCACAAAGGCACAATTTGAAGTACACTTCCTTGAATTCCATTTCTATTTTACTCAGCAAATAAGTTCTCACTTTCTGGATTGTTATTGGTAGTTTTTGTGGAACTGCATTAGTTAAATTTTTTTTCCATTTAACTATAGACTGCTTTAAACGTATTGAACATTTTCGGTGGCACAGGATCTAACTTCAATTTTTGCACTTGGAGCATGTACATACTCTGAAAAAAAACGCATTCAAGATATTTATCATTTGATAAATAAATGAATCTTTTAAATAAAAAAGAAATGAGAGTCAAGATTGCATGGTGTTGCGAGGTTTGGTGCATAATTAGTAATTCTGTAGTGTAGACTTATAAGTTTATTACATGCACTATCTGCTCAGCAGTGGACACCAGCAGTGTGCTTAAACAAAGAGCATAGATTAACTTAATTTGATCAGAAAGCATGTGATGGAAATTAATCCCCCATCTTTGTTTACATAAGACTTCCTTGGAGAGTGAAATTTAATACTTAGCATGTTCCCCCTCTCTGAAATTCCACAGAATGTGTAATGATGGGTAAAATAATGCTATTAACAGTGATTAAGAATAAGTTTTGAGAAAAAAAGAAATAACTTACTTCCTGAGAAAACAATGTATCCATGATTTGTATGGCATCTACGTCAACAGCACCATCTTTTCATGCACCTTCAATATCACTTGTCTGTCACAAAACAACACTAGCTGTCTTCATCATTCTTAGATTCAACACAACTTTTTGCCATAACATGATTAGTTAAGTCCAAAGGGAAGAACACAACAAAATGTTGATCATTTCCATCAAAGTACATCATGGCTTTTAGCCTGTCTGGATGCAGCGCCAGCAGAATTTGAAATGGCTGATAAAGTGACGTAGAGTAATCACGTGATTTTTATCAGCCTCTCCCTGGATATGTTAACAGCTGGTCAGCACTAATATAACCAGCAATATACACAGCTGATAAAGCTACCATTTATTTCTGAATCAATGCTTCAGAAAATAAATGCAAATTCAATCATGGATTTACCAAAGAGATCACTTCATGTGTATAATTTGTTATTGGTATGACATCATATAAATTCAAAATAAATGTAAAATAAATGCATTGAAACAACATTTATTGAAAAAATCAAATTTCAATCATTCCAAAATCAATGGTCTGAAGATTTTTGAATTGGATTCAATCAAAAATAAATGCAAAACCAATGTTCAATGTATTTTCAAGACAAATAAAATCAAAAATCAATGCAAATATAGCATTTGTTTTTGCTAAGGGTCGGCCTTTAAATACTGACCAATAGCTACTATCACTTTTATTAGCACATAATAAACAAAAGCATGTGTTCCTAGTACATATATGATAAATTAATATATTTCATGAGCAAGGCAATTAACATTCTACGTAAATACTTAGGTTAAAATAATAAATTCGCAAAAAGAAATATTTGTGAGTAAAAGAAGATCATGAAACTTGCTCGTGAATAAAAGTTGGTTTCATATAATTTTGTACTAAAACCACAGATTTATCATATCAATTCCAAATAAAGTTAAATAATTATATAAATATTTTTAAACTACATTAGTTGAAGTGAGAGAAAAGTTTCTCGAATATTTCAATGAACGAACTAGCTTTTTTTTTTAAATCCACATCCGGGTACTTCAAATATGGATGCGCCCATGATGATAAAGTGTTCATGTGTTGTGCAATATAAAATCTAAATAAAGAAAAAAATTAAGTAAACGCTTAAACATGTCCCTCAACTTGGCTGCACGAGTATCAGAATCGAGAACCTTGAGATTCTTAGTAGCTGGAGGTAATTTGGTTTTATTGAAAAATTACTTACGGTTTTGACCAGTGGAAAAAGAGGAAATTCGCATTACGCTATGGAATGTTAGTCAGTAAAATCCGATATTTTTTTTGTTTTCATAGGCATGGGTGTTTTATTGTTTCTGCAACTAAGAAAATGTATCAGATTCACACGGCTTCTGAAACGGCTAATACAAACGCCTGTGAAGTACAGAGAGAATAAAGCTGTGTATTTGATCAACTCATCAGAAACCTGGGAGGAATTCTACATCAAAATACAGGAACAAACCACAAAAGTAAATCTGTAACTTTTTTCTTTAAAAACAAATGAAGTTTATTTTCTGTTGTTCAGTTGTTTTGTTGAAATAGGGTACTTAATGATTTTAATAAATGTTTCATACTACATGTACTAAGGAAGTTAACATTATATGCCTGTATATTGTCATTTGCTTTGATTGAGGCTTATACAAGTCCTTACAGTATATATAAAGTCACTGGTACCAGGTAATGTTTGCATGGAGTGAGAAGTAACTTAAACAGATTAAAGATGAACCTGAGGAGTAGGTTATAACAGTGAAGTAAAATACTAGTAGTACCAACAGGATTTACAAAATGTGAAATGTCTGAATGTATAGAAGTGGTCAGTGGTACAGTGATATTGCAGGTGCTTGGAATAGACTGTGAATGGGTAACTCATGGGAGATACACTCTTCCTGTGTCTCTGTTACAAATAGCGACCCCGCGAGGAGACTGTGGACTGGTACGTCTGTCACAGATGACTGAAATTCCAGACTCACTACGCAGGATAATGCAGGATAGAAGGTAAATTGTGCATATCTTTCACAATAATTTTTGCAGGGAAGTATTTAATAAACATGTTTGAAAAAAAATGTTATTGATTTGAATCAGTACCGGTAATTGAAATAATTTTTAATGCAGCAATTTTAAATATTTACCTGTTTAGAAAATCTAGAAAAATACATGTAAATACTTTTCTTTTAGCATCTTGAAAGTAGGTGTAGCTTGCATTGATGATGGAAACAAACTTCATAAAGACTATGGAATTGTAGTTCAAGGTTGTGTTGACCTGCGTTATGTATTAGGACGTGTGAGAGGAATTTACCATGTGTAAGTATAAATAGTCCCTCCCCCAATTAAAAATGTCAATAGTAATTTTTATAGCTAGAAAACCAGAGTGTTGACCATTCACTGGCTCTTACAGAATATTGATTGTGATTATGAGAAAAAAATTTTATTTACATCATTTTTTTTTTTAAGAAAAAATGTCGGACTGAAGGGCATGACAGAGGCAATATTAGGTATTGAGCTTGACAAACACGACAGTATCCGTAGAAGTAACTGGGAAGCTCCAGTGTACACAGATGCTCAGGTAAGACAAATATTGTGGGTAGACTTGCTTAAGGACAGATGAGACGTTCCTAAATAATATATAATTTTCTCCAAGATTTTGTCGTTGAAGAATTACTACTTGAACATGTTTACTCAAAAAAAGTCGAGGTACCTTACCAGGCATTTGTGCGAGATACCAGAGAATGGCATTTCTTATATAATCCTTTAGGAAAAACCTTAGTTTGCCAAAATCACATTTTTAGTGTTTCAAATTTTTAAAAACAATTAAAAACCGGTTTCGAAATCAGAAAGTAAGAAGGATTTTGTATAGTTTTCATACATTATGAAGATCTACAGAACAGATATTTGCATACATGCCAACTTTCCCGATTTAGGCGGGATCCTCCCGATTTTACCCTTTCATCCCGCCTTCCCGATCGGGAAAGCAAAATTGCCCTTATTTCCCGATTTGAAAAAAAAATCACCAAAATTTCCGATTTTAAAAGTAATTCCCTACCGCTGAATTTTGACAATCGGGATAACAATGTCAGACTTGTTTATTCAATGCTCACAGATAAGTTTCATTGTTTATTTAACCAGATGTTAATTAGGCCTAGACACAGGAAATCACTTCACGCTTGAACGCACGAAGTTGTCCACTGGAGCAAGAAGCTTATAGCTTGGGGCAATTAGGGGATTATCTTGTTAGTTTTAAAGGGTATGCAAGGTGAAACAGATAGATTAACAAGATAGTTGTTTGTCATTTTATTAAAAATATAAATTAAAGACAATAGAATGCAAATCAAACAATAAAAACGGAATCCAAAGAGATCGTTTTTTGAAAACGAAAGTAGAAAACTACAACGCATAGCTGTTGATTTTATCTTCCTATTGAAAAATATTGTAAAGTTTGCCAGTTAAAATATTATTAAAAAATTAAGATGAAACAATCAAGTGTATGTCAATTAGAATTTCTTTTCCCTCCCTTCTCCCAAAAGTAATATGTTAGGTAGATCTATGTGCATGAATTAAGGAAATACCCACATGGCACCATCAAGCCTGACAAATTTCATGACTGTAAAAAAAAAATAATTTTCTTTTACATAGGTGGTATAAATTTCTGTAAATTTAATATCTTATTATAATTTCTAATTAATTGAAATATAAATAAAAAATGTTTCTAGAAACAGGACTTTACAGTATCAACACCTCATTTATTTTTAGCCTTTGAAAAAAATGATTTTAAAGTTGTACAATTTTCAATTTTTCACTAAATTCTGTCCTGGTAGAAAAAAAGTTGTTTATATATGTAACTAAATACCCCTTCTTTAGTGAGAGAGGCACCAGTATTTTAGCAAAAATATTTCAATTTTGGAAAGAAAAACATTTTTTGTGGTAAATTAATCCTTGAGTTTTATTGATAAGTGATATCAATATTATAAATTTTCAAAAAAAGATCATTTCATAATCATTTAATTTCACGACAAAATGTCGCGAATTTAAAGCTTTGAAAATTGTCGTCACGCGCTAAATCCCCCATGGAAATTTTCAAAAGTTGGCATGTATGTATTTGGGGAATGTATCGTCTGACCTTAAGTCAGACAAATTCACAAAATTGCATTGTAAAGTAAAATCAACAGAATTTTTATGTTGTTTATCTTATTCAATCAAATGAGCAACAAGTATTTACATCCTAATAAAAAAAAAAAAATTAAATACCGGTAATACCTAATTTTTAAATAGTACTTAAAAAAATTGATATTATATGATAACAACATGAACAAAGGATGATACATGTAATTATTGATGAGTTCATTTTGAATCAGTACAAAACAGACAATATCATCCCTTAAATTTTTTTTTGGACAAGTGTGGGGAAAGGTTACCTTGTAGGGATGTGCGATTTTATCGTTATACCAGTATATCGCGATTTTTTGTTGCGTGATACGTATCGTGATACGGAGACCTAAATACCAGTCTTTAGGTACATATTATAGAGTCCAGAAATTATTCATTTATTTGTTCAATCTTTCAATAACAATTACAGAAAGTATAAAAAATGTTGTAAAAAGTGAAAAGAACGGCATCTTACCGTCCAAACATAATTGATTTTATATACATAAAAATTTCAAGAAAGTAAAATTTTGCTTTTCTAGCATATTTTTTAGAAAAATAATGACTTTTCATATAAAATCATTGTAAAAACTGCTTTTAAAAATATCATATTATCGTGATATTGTGGAGAAAAAATCGTGATATATCGCGATACGAAATTTTTGGCGATACCCATCCCTATTACCTTGTTATCAGTTGAACAGGTCGAGGAAACTACCTTATATGGATATTGTTGTTATTGCGCACAGAGGTGCTCACAGCAAACAATGACCCAACCGAATGAATGAGCCACAAAGCATGCTAGTCTACTACGTGTTTACATTTTACTACAAACAAGTGGTTCAGGTCAATTTACGACATGATTTCACATGCCTGTCGGAGAGTCAATTAATATCTTTTCAATTTTTTTGTTAAAAATTGAAAGAATAAATAGTAAAGAAGATGTTCAGTGCTAACATTAACAAACAAAGCAAATTTTCTGTGTTAAATAGTAGGTTGAAATACAGCTCACAAACTCTTGACAAGTAATAGAAATTAAGTTTCTATACTTGATATTTGTATATTTACCATATGCTACTGGTCTAATTCATTTGTTGACTAAATGTTCATACATTCTAAAACAAAAGTGCATTGCTCTACGACATTTATTCGACACAATTTTACTAAAGTCTCACGTACATTGATATATACCGGGTAACTGCTGTGCATGGATTAAGTAGCATGCATATACATGTATATACATTTACTTGTATATATATATCTTAAAATTGTATATTTAGAAACAATATTTACAAAGTCACCATGTACACATGTTCACATCTTTGTAATCATTCTATAAACGAATGATGAATAAATTAACTGCCAAGTCTACGGAGACGCATACACCAACTTTCTTAATTACACATTTAAACTTGTCAAACATCAATGCACTCAGAAAAATCGAAAACTTCATTTTTAAGAATTTTAACAAAGTCCAGTAAACTAGATTTTTTGCACTTTTAAGTGATTTTTCTTTCTGATTCGTTTTTCGAAGGAGTATCGACGCTTGAATGGCATTGCAACAAGTAGCAATAGTAGAATTTTGCACCAAAGCACTCTACACCATTCTAAACTGTTAAATGGCCATCTAAAGTCTTGTATACATGACAATATACGTGAGTACACCTCGGAGTCGTTTGTTTAAGAGCATGGGATACACGTGAATTTTTTTATTCATTCATACAATAAGCAAATGTAAACAGGCAAATAGACTTATTCAATGGAGTGGAGAAAAACACAATATTACCGTTGTTAATGAATTGTTTGTAAATGTGAGCATGGAATTAGTAGATAATGATGTAAACTTTGTGTTAAGCATGAAAAATGCTTGAAAAAATGCATCATGTCTTTCCGAGAGTGATTTGAAGAAGAGGCCCATGGGCCACATCGCTCACCTGAGCATTGTGGCAAGAAAAAAGTAGAAATTGGTTTACAATACTATTGAAAAGTTTAAATCCAAAAGTTTGGCCCCGCCCTACCCCCGGGGGTCATGACTGGAACAAACTTGAATCTTCACTACCAGGGGATGCTTCCATATAAATATGGGCAATTATGGCTTTGCTGTTCTTGAGAAGAAGATTTTTAAAGAGTTTTCCTATATATTTCTATATAAAACTTTGGTCGGCCATTGTGGCCCCGCCCTACCCCCGGGTGTCATGATTTGAACAAACTTGAATCTACACTATACCTGGGGATGCTTCCATATAAATATGGGCAATCATGGCTTTGCTGTTCTTAAGAAGAAGATTTTTAAAGAATTTTCCTTTATATTTCTATATAAATCTTTGGTTGGCTATTGTGGCCCCGCCCTACCCCCGGGGGTCATGATTTGAACAAATTTGAATCTACACTACCTGGGGATGCTTCCATATAAATATGGGCAATCATGGCTTTGCTGTTCTTAAGAAGAAGATTTTTAAAGAATTTTCCTATATATTTCTATATAAAACTTTGGTCGGCCATTGTGACCCCGACCTACCCCCGGGGGTCATGATTTGAACAAACTTGGATCTACACTACCTTCGGGATGCTTCCATATAAATATGAGCAATTATGGCTTTGCTGTTCTTGAGAAGAAGATTTTTAAAGAATTTTCCTATATATTTCTATATATAACTTTGGTTGGCCATTGTGGCCCTGCCCTACCCTCGGGGGTCATGATTTGAACAAACTTGAATCTACACTACCTGGGGATGCTTCCAAATAAATATGGGCAATCATGGCTTTGCTGTTCTTAAGAAAAAGATTTTTAAAGAATTTTCCTATATATTTCTATATAAAACTTTGGTCGGCCATTGTGACCCCGACCTACCCCCGGGGGTCATGATTTGAACAAATTTGGATCTACACTACCTGGGGATGCTTCCATACAAATATGAGCAATTATGGCTTTGCTGTTCTTGAGAAGAAGATTTTTAAAGAATTTTCCTATATATTTCTATATAAAACTTTGGTCGGCCATTGTGGCCCCGCCCTACCCCCGGGGGTCATGATTTGAACAAACTTGAATCTACACTACCTGGGGATGCTTCCATATAAATATGGGCAATCATGGCTTTGCTGTTCTTAAGAAGAAGATTTTTAAAGAATTTTCCTATATATTTCTATATATAAATTTGGTCGCCCATTGTGGCCTCGCCCTACCCCCCCCGGGGGACATGATTTGAACCAATTTGAATCTGCACTACCTAAGGATGTTTCACCATAAGTTTCATCTTTCCTGGCACAGTGGTTCTTGAGAAGAAGATTTTTAAAACATACCACCAAATTTTCATTAATTCCCAATTATCTCCCCTTGAATGAGGGCGTGGCCCTTCATTTGAACAAACTTGAATACCCTTCACCCAAGGATGCTTTGTGGCAAGTTTGGTTGAAATTGGCCCAGCAGTTCTTGAGAAGAAATGAAAATGTGAAAAGTTTACGGACAGACAGACAGACAGATGGACGCTGGACAAAATGTGATCAGAAAAGCTCACTTGAGCCTTCGGCTCAGGTGAGCTAAAAAACTAGCATTTTCCAAACGTAGTATGTTTTGTAGTAACCCAACTCATTCAGCGGATTGGTCGATTTGTCAGTCACGTGCGTACAGCATTTAGCATGTAAATTTATTCTGACATCACAGAAAATAGTTTCCTCGACCTGTTGAAGTTTGGTAGCGAAGACCAATATTTTTGAAAAACTCAAAACTTCATTAACTACTTAAGAACACTCAATATCTTTAATTTAATAGCCTATCAAGTTCGAAATACCAGTGCGTAGCTACATTATTTAGAGTGTATGATACATACATCATGTAGGTAATAAAACTGAAATTTAATAAATTTTAGAACAATGAATTCCAGGCCTCTTTGAGAATTCTCTTTTATTTCACGACAGATAGAATATGCAGCAAAGGATGCCTTGGTAGGCGTAGACATATTCATTCACCTTGTATTGGCAAAAATGGAGGGAAGAAAAGTGAATATCTATGAGGAGATCCTCATGAAAAATGACATTGACCCCAAAATCTGGTCCACTGCCCGGTCAGTGTGTCAGGGGATCGTGGACCTCCCTTACAAACAGAAGGGGGGTGCTATAAAAAAGGCCAACAAAACCAGCAGCAGTTCAATACCAGCATCCATTCAGAGATTGACACATGCATTAGAGGAACAACTAGCAAAGGTATTCTTCATTTTAATCATTGTGGCTTCACAGTCTATGTTTTTGTTTGTATGTTTGTTGAACATCTCTCTCAAGAATTTTTCATTCATATGGAGAATCCACCACTTGCCAGTGGAAAGCTGCAAATTTTGACTTTATATGCTTGGGACTCAAAGCCATTGAGCAGGGAGGGATCTTTTTCATGCCAGCACCTACTGCAACACGGGACCTTGGTTTACTGTAAACCAACTTTTATTTGCATGCGAGAAATTTTTGCGAAGTTTGCGAGAGCATCTTCATTTCTCGCCGCGAACCGGTCCTGTTAGTCTTTGAGTCTATTGACGACAAAACCAAAAAGACTTGATCGCGAAAATTAATCGATGCGAACTAGTTTAACCTCGATAAATCGAGAAATAAAGTCGTCACGAATAAAAGTTGGTTTACAGTATACGGTCTCATCTGATGGATTGGTCTACACGTCCCACAGTGGATTCGAACCTGAGAGATAAAGATTAACTTGTTACTCTGCAACCCTAGATCAGACACCCCTACCACTTTAATAAGAATCACATTGACCTTGGCAATAGATTCTGAAAGGTCATATTTAAAACTAATTTTTGTTGAAATTCATTGCTTAAAGACTATCCTGTCTACAGTTTTGAACTAGTATCACACACCAGTACTTCACCCAACAGAACTTATTATTTAATTAAGTTTCATTATAATTTTAAATATTGTGTTGTCCTCTTCATTACAGATTAGTCAGCAAATTTCTTTGAGTATTAAATTGATTTTTTTTTTAAATTGCATCATTAACAAAAGTTGATATTAAGATCAATGTACACGATCTTTTTGATGTAGGATTTTTCATGATAACTGTGTAATGGGAACAATTATTATGAAACACTCTTTTGATCAGGAAAACCCATACAACGCACCAGCGGCACCACACAATGTAGATCCACGCCTAAATCCATTAGCCCGTGAATTTCGACCATTCAACAGACACGGCTCAGTAAGTCAAATGTAGGATAACCTAGGAGGAAATCTACCACGTGACAATTTAGTGGACAGTGATCCAACTGACTCTCTCGATTTATCCACTGAAATCGATTGCAAACTTAAAATCCTAGGATTAAATGTTTGTGGTTTAAGTAGACGCATAAATTGTCCAGAATTTTCAACATTTATCTCTTCCTCTGATATATTGTGTTTTACAGATACAAAAACTGATGATACTACACCGATTGATCACAATTATTTTTTCTTTGATGCTAAAAATAGGCACGGATTTTCAAACAGACGTTCTGGTGGTATTGTAATTGGATACAAAAAATCTATCAAAGATTATGTAACTATCGTTCACACAGACTGTAAATTTGTTCACTGGTTAAGATTAAAATCTTCTTTAATTAATTCAGATAAAGACTTGATTTTAGGTATTGTTTACATACCACCAGAAAGTTCTATATATAGTTCAAGGGAAGCTTTTGAAGAAATTGAACTTGAATTTTTGAATTTACAGAGTGAATTTAGTCATATATGCCTAATTGGAGATTTTAATGCAAGAACTTCTGATAGAGATGATTTTATTGAACCAGATGACATATCAAATCAAGAATTTGAGTTAGATGATCCCAGTTTAGACTGTCTCTCAAATGTATTTGAATTACAAAAGATAAATGTACCAAGGAAACGAAAATCATTAGATAAAACAAAGAATAATTTTGGAAACAATTTATTAAATTTTTGTAAAAAGAACAATATGTATTTATTGAATGGAAGATTAGAAGAGGGTAAATTTACTACAACAAAATCAAGTGTGGTCGATTATTGTATATGTAGTGTTGAATTTTTGAAGCATGTGCAAAATTTTTCTGTACTAGAATTCAATAGGTTATATTCTGATATCCATATGCCACTACTTTGTGAAATAAGTGCTAACTCATATACCTCAAACGATAACTGCCAAACTAAAGAAGAAAGAAAGAAAAATAAAAATAATTTTTCATGTCAGAAAATAAAACCATGGGATAATGAAAAAACAGAAGAATTTTGTCAAAATATTGATTTAAATGTCCTAAGAACATTAAAAAATAACTTGAGCAATATTGATTTCAATGATTTAAATAAAAACCTGGTTAATGAAATTTTTTCAGATCTGCTGCTTAACTCGGCACGCACAACTTTTGGAATATTTAATGCTCACCAAACTCACAATAAACTACCACAGAAAAGAAAAGAATGGTTTGATAAAGAATGCAAAATAGCACAAAAAAAATATAGGAAATCAAAACGAATGTTTAGGAAATATCGTTCAAGCATCCTTTAAGAAGAAGCACGGGTCAATGAACGTAAATATAAAAATACCATGGACAAAAGTATGAAAAAACATAGAAATTTAATTATGAAAAAAATTAGAAAACTGAGAAGTAAGGATCCAAAAAGGTATTGGAAAATAATTCATAAAAGGCCGAACAACAAAAAATGTGATATTAATATTGATGAATTTTACAATTACTTTAAAAATATAAATAAGGGTGATGTAAATAATGACGAACTTCTATCAAATGAGGTAAGAAATACACATAATAATGATGAACTAGACTCAGTGATAACTGAAGATGAGATAAAACACGCAATTGAAAATATTAAAAATAACAAAAGTGCTGGAAGTGATGAAATTTATAATGAATACATAAAATCCTCTGCTAGTATTATGTTACCTGTATATGTTATGTTATTTAATATTGTTTTTAACTCAGCAATTTTGCCTGAAGCTTGGATTGTTGGTGATATATTGCCTATTTATAAAAATAAGGGGAACGACAATGCCCCTGAAAACTATAGACCTATAACTTTATTAAGTTGCATGGGTAAATTATTCACATCCATCCTAGCTAAACGATTAAATAATTATGCTGAGCAATATGATATACTTAATGAAAATCAAGGGGGTTTCAGATCAAATTATTCTACAATAGATAATATTTTCACTTTACAAATCGTTAATCGAATTATCCTTTTTACTGTAAAAGAAACTATATTGTGCATTTATAGATTTTAAGGCTGCTTTTGACAATGTATGGAGAATAGGATTATGGCAAAAACTCATTCAAAATAATATTACCGGAAAATGTTTTGAAGTTATAGTGAAAATGTACTCTGAAAGTAAATCCAGAATAGCTGTTAATGATATGGTAACTGAATACTTTCCATGCAAAATAGGGGTACGACAAGGTGAAAACTTATCGCCCTTTTTATTTGCTTTATTTCTGAATGATGTAGAATCCTTTTTAATTGCACATAACAATATTGGTGTCTCAACAATATCAAACGAGATTGAAAAAGAACTTGGTGTTTTGCTAAAAATGCTGATTATTTTGTACGCAGATGATACAGTTTTACTATCAGAATCACCCGAAGATTTACAGAATCAATTGAACAGTTTTTTATTGTATTGTGAAAAATGGAAACTAGAAGTTAACATTGAAAAAACGAAAATCGTGATTTTTTTCAAAGGGACGTATACCACATAAAGTTTTTCATTACAATAACAAAGAAATTGAAATTGTTAAACATTTTAAATATCTAGGAATCATATTCTCAACAACAGGCTCATTTAAGACAAAACAATATGCTACTGAAAGAGCAACGAAAGCTATGTATGGTATTTTGAAAAAGGGTAACCAATTACATCTTTCTCTATATGACCAATTGTATTTGTTTGACAAGATTGTAGTTCCAATTTTATTGTATTGTTGTGAAGTGTGGGGTTATGGTAATGCTGAAATGGTAAAAAGAGTACATTTAAAATTCTGTAAAATGCTTTTTCATTTAAAACCAAGTACTCCAAATTTTATGATTTATGGTGAATTAGGTAGAGTACTTTAATTATACATATTAAAACTAGAATTATTGCATACTGGTCAAAAATTTTACATGGAAAGCAATCAAAATATTGTTTTTTAATGTATAAATTACTTCGTGCAAAATTTGATAATGGACATGAATCTAAATGGTTAAAGAATTTGAAATCAATTTTAGACAATTGTGGATATAGTAATATTTGGAATCAGAATCAATTATTTAATAGAACTTGGCTCATTAAAAGTTTGAAACAAAAATTACTAGATCAGTTTCAACAAAATTGGAATTCAACCTGTAATGATTCTTCAAAAGGTGCGACATATAATGTATTTACAAATTTACACTTTGGATGCCAATTTTATGTAGATAGCGGCTTAAGTAATTATAAGAAACAAATTTTAGCTAGATTTAGAACAGCAAACCATAAATTACCAATTGAAACAGGAAGATGGGAAGGTACTGAAAGAATTAATAGAATATGTCTTTTATGTAAAAATGATCTTGGGGACGAATTCCACTATATATTATCATGTGAAAAGTTAAAAGATGAAAGAAAATTGTATATTCCGAAATATTATTTATCAAGACCAAATGTTATAAAGTTTAGTGAATTGTTTTCTTCGAAAAATATTGGGCTATTAAGTAAACTTTGTTCATTTATTAAAATTGTAAACGAGAGAGTCAGACCTCCAGGTTAACATCATTGTAAATTATTATATGAAAATATTTGATTATATTAATAAGCACACTTTGTATATATGTTATATATAATGCTCACGCATGTATGTATATATGTTATAATAATATGTATGATCTCTATGTTGTTAAAATAACAACGAAAGAGATGTTAATAAACTGGTAAACTGTATATTTAAAAGACCTTATTTTCTAAAACAATGATTGAATTTGATCAAGAAATCAACTTACAAGGTATCTCTTTCATCAGCAATTCATGATTTTTTCCCAGAGAGGTCAGAGCATGAGCTAGGATTAGTATAATAATGTTTGATCATCCATTTGATATAAAATCATTTTCCTCTTTGGGAGTGATGCATATTTTGTACAGGTGTATCCCAAGATCTTAATTTCTAAATGATTACACTATTCTATACCAATAAATCATCCAAAATTATTTATTTCATAAGGAGAATGAAGATGACTTTAAAGGAGAACTCTCACAAACAAAAGAAAGCCGAGCCTACGTCGTGCGAAAGCGCCCTCTATACTATAACTGCCTCCTACTGGCTCCAGACGGAGAACAACTGTGTACCTGTGATATTAGGAAGGCTGAGTGGTACATAGAGAAAGGGCTGGCAGGTAATCCAACTAACTAGTACATAACTGTCATGTTTCTAACTCAAATGTAATATTTACAATCTGTTTGAGTAGAAACTCATGCATTGTGTTCATTTATTATATTTAATTATGCATTCAATTTCTTTATTCACCTCAATACTTTGAATGTTGTTAAATACTATAAGCCCAGAATTATAATACCTGTACTGTGGAACATTAACTGGTATGGTGAAATTGGAATTACATGTTTTCAGCTTTCGTCATTTCCATCTGAAAATGATGTAAGCTGTATATTTCCAATCCGGCAAAATAATTTTCCACAGTCTTAGTACTGTAACAAGTAGCTATATACACAAAATGTGATATTTGTTCAGATATTTTCTTTAGTATTTGAGTTGTGGAGTCTTCTAAAAATTCCTAGGTATCTCTTAAATAAATTAACAAAAAATATTCTGGTGTCACAATCATTCATATTATGAATATGCAGTCTTTTAAACTGAAAGTTAATATTTAAAAGATTTGACACATTTAAAAAAATTTTATTCCTTGTTTATTTTATTCCCATATAAAATTATGTTTAAAGGGAGATAACTCTGTCTCTGATGCAATTTTTGAATTCATTGGGGAAAAGGCAAAGGGGGCTAACTGGGCTATCAATAAGGGGCCACAGGAGCCCATTTAGCACTGTCTCAATGATTTGAATTGGTTGCCTTCGATTTCACCCTGATGGAAATAATTTTAAAACAATCTCTTTAAATGGATAAATTCATGTCTTCACTTCAAAATCATTGAAAGATTTAGGAGCTGATAAAAAATTTATCACAAACTGGAGACAATATTCACTTCACCACTTCCTTTTATAGAGAAAGTAAGTGATGAGCCCTTGACAGTGAAGTTGAACTTTGAACCTCAAGGTCGCCCTGAGAGTGGGGATGACTATTATCTCCAAGAAAAAGAGAACATTTGTGTTGTTTGTGGTATAGAGGAAAAACTCATCAAGAAACAGGTTGTTCCAAAAGAGTATAGAAGGTAATTCTCCTTTTTACACTAATTGGAGGGTTCAGTGCATTGTGTAGGTTTTGAGATTTATACAGTAGATGATATTTTAAAAGTTATGGACATTGAAAGAGGATATGTATATAATAACAAGGATTTTGGCATTGCTACAGAAAATTTTTATGATGGGTTAGATCTTATAATAAAGTCATATTTTGCAACTAAGAAGTACACCTTAATTTTCATTGTTTGTGTGGAATAAAGATATGCAAGCTTAGCTGTATGAGGAGAATTTCTATCTAGTTTTACTGTAAAAATGTGGAATCATTCAAGTCCGAATTAGATTTGAATTTATCAATTTCAATGACATATACTCCTTTATGGCATATTTAGAAAATATTATACATTTCATAATGATTTTATTTCGCAAAAAAGCAACCTCTATTTAAATTTTAGGTTTTTCCCAACCTCTCTGAAGGATCATTCCTCACATGATATTCTCCTTCTGTGTGTATCTTGTCATCAGCGAAGCACTCAGTTTGATACAGTCCTGAGATTCCAGCTAGCTGAGGAGAGTGGATGCCCTATTGACATGGGGTCATCAGTCAAAGTTCATGCAGACAAGGACCTTCAGAAAGTTCGATCAGCAGCAAGGTCAGAATAATTACCATGTAATACATTGAGTGTGATTTTCAGATGATGAATTAATGTTGTTTTTTTTTTTCTTGCTCTTGCCCTTTTCCCAGACAGAGGATTAGAAATATGCCCAAAATTTGAAAGATTAAAAAAAAACAAAAACTAGTTTACATTCAAAATAGTGTCATTTTCACAATGTTTCCGATTGTTTACCTGAAAAAATACCCTAAACAGGAATAAGAAAATATTTTAAAATGGTGAATTTTGACTTTAAAAGTACTGCTGTTTACAAAAACAAAAAATTATTTGATTAATGATATTTTTAGCTCTCCTGAGCCAAAAGCTCAAGTGAGCTTTTCTGATCAAAATTTGTCCATCATCTGTTGTTGTTAGCTCACCTGAGCCGAAGGCTCAAGTGAGCTTTTCTGATCACATTTTGTCCGTCGTCCGTCCGTCTGTCCGTCTGTCCGTCTGTCCGTCCGTCCGTCCGTCCGTCTGTAAACTTTTCACATTTTCGACTTCTTCTCAAGAACCAATGGGCCAATTTTAACCAAACTTGGTACAAAGCATCCTTGGGTAAAGGGGAGTTTAAATTGTTAAAATTAAGGGCCAAGTCCCCTTACAAGGGGAGATAATCAAAAAAAGACAAAAATAGAGTGGGGTCACTAAAAAATCTTCTTCTCAAGAACCACTGGGCCAGGAAAGCTGAAACTTATGTGGAAGCATCCTTGGGTAGTGTAGATATTAAATTGTTAAAATCATGACCCCCGGGGGTAGGGCGGGGCTACAAAAGGAAATCCAATTTTTACATAGAAATATATAGAACAAATCTTTAAAAATCTTCTTTTCAAGAACCACTGGGCCAGGAAAGCTGAAACTTATGTGGAAGCATCCTTGGGTAGTGTAGATATTAAATTGTTAAAATCATGACCCCCGGGGGTAGGGCGGGGCCACAATAGGGAATCCAAGTTTTACATAGAAATATATAGAACAAATCTTTAAAAATCTTCTTCTCAAGAACCACTGGGCCAGGAAAGCTGAAACTTATTTGGAAGTATCCTTGGGTAGTGTAAATATTAAATTGTTAAAATCATGACTCCCGGGGGTAGGGCGGGGCCACAATAGGGAATCCAAGTTTTACATAGAAATATATAGAACAAATCTTTAAAAATCTTCTTCTCAAGAACCACTGAGCCAGAAAAGCTGAAACTTATGTGGAAGCATCCTTGGGTAGTGTAGATATTAAATTGTTAAAATCATGACCCCCGGGGGTAGGGCGGAGCTACAATAGGGAATCCAAGTTTTACATAGAAATATATAGAACAAATCTTTAAAAATCTTCTTCTCAAGAACCACTGGGCCAGGAAAGCTGAAACTTATGTGGAAGCATCCTTAGGTAGTGTAGATATTAAATTGTTAAAATCATGACCCCCGGGGGTAGGGCGGGCCACAATAGGGAATCCAAGTTTTACATAGAAATATATGGAACAAATCTTTAAAAATCTTCTTCTCAAGAACCACTGGGCCAGGAAAGCTGAAACTTATGTGGAAGCATCCTTGGGTAGTGTAGTTATTAAATTGTTAAAATCATGACCCCCGGGAGTAGGGCGGGGCCACAATAGGGAATCCAAGTTTTACATAGAAATATATAGAAGAAATCTTTTAAAATCTTCTTCTCAAGAACCACTGGGCCAGGAAAGCTGAAACTTATGTGGAAGCATCCTTGGGTAGTGTAGATTCTAAAGTTTTTAAATAAAAAAGGGAAGGGGTTGTTGGGCATGACTGGTATAGCAAGAGGGGGAATCTGGTAAAGATCTGCATGACCCAAGTTACTCAGGTGAGCGATGTGGCCCATGGGCCTCTTGTTGTTGTTGTTGTTGTCGTTGTCGTTGTCGTAAACTTTTCACATTTTCATCTTCTCAAAAACCAATGGGCCAATTTCAACCCAACTTGCCACAAAGTATCCTTGGGTGAAGGGGATTCAGGTTTGTTCAAATGAAGAGCCAAGCCCTCTTCCAAGGGGAGATAATTATGAATAAGTGAAAAATTAATGGCATCTTTTAAAAATTTCTTCTCCAGAACCACTGTGCCAGGAAAGATGAAACTTATAGGAAAGCATCCTCAGGTAGTGTAGATTCAAATTTGTTCAAATCATGACCCCGGGGGGTAGGGCGGGGCCACAATGGCCGATCAAAGTTTTGCATAGAAATGTATAAGAAAATTCTTTAAATATCTTCTTCTCAAGAACCACTGTGCCAGGAAAGATGAAACTTATAGGAAAGCATCCTCAAGTAGTGTACATTCAAGTTTGTTCAAATCATGACCCCGGGGGGTAGGGTGGGACCACAAGTAATTCATATTAACACCAGGGTAAAATTAAATTCTGGGAATTAAAATACTTTGTGATGGATTGAAGAAGAATTTACTGTTTTTAGCTCTACTGGTCAGAGACCAGAAGAGCTTATGCAATAGTAATGCGTCCGTCGTCCGTCCGTCTGTCTGTCTGTCTGTAAACAATTTTTCAAAATGCTACTCCTCCTACAGTTTTTAGCTCACCTGAGCCAAAGGCTCAAGTGAGCTTTTCTGATCACATTTTGTCCGTCCGTCGTCAGTCCGTCTGTCTGTCTGTCCGTCTGTCTGTCTGTCCGTCTGTAAACTTTTCACATTTTCGACTTCTTCTCAAGAACCACTGGGCCAATGTTACCAAACTTGGTACAAAGCATTCTTGGGTGAATGGGAATTTAAATTGTTAAAATGAAGGGACATATCCCCTCGCAAGGGGAGATAATCAAGAAAAGACAAAAAAGGGTTGGGTCATTAAAAAATCTTCTTCTCAAGAACCACTGGGCCAGTAAAGCTGAAACTTATGTGGAAGCATCCTGGGGTAGTGTAGATTCTAAATTGTTCAAATCATGACCCCCCAGGGAAGGGCGGGGCCACAATGGGGAATCAAAGTTATACATAGAAATATATAGGAAAAATCTTTGAAAATCTTCTTCTCAAGAACCACTGGGCCAGTAAAGCTGAAACTTATGTGGAAGCATCCTGGTATAGTGAAGATTCTAAATTGTTCACATCATGACCCCCGGGGGAAGGGCGGGGCCACAATGGGGAATCAAAGTTTTACATAGAAATATATAGGAAAAATCTTTGAAAATCTTCTTCTCAAGAACCACTGGGCCAGTAAAGCTGAAACTTATGTGGAAGCATCCTGGTATAGTGAAGATTCTAAATTGCTCACATCATGACCCCCGGGGGAAGGGCGGGGCCACAATGGGGAATCAAAGTTTTACATAGAAATATATAGGAAAAATCTTTGAAAATCTTCTTCTCAAGAACCACTGGGCCAGTAAAGCTGAAACTTATGTGGAAGCATCCTGGTATAGTGAAGATTCAAAATTGTTCACATCATGACCCCCGGGGGAAGGGCGGGGCCACAATGGGGAATCAAAGTTTTATATAGAAATATATAGGAAAAATCTTTGAAAATCTTCTTCTCAAGAACCAGTGGGCCAGAAAAGCTGAAACTTATGTGGAAGCATCCTGGTATAGTGTAGATTCTAAATTGTTCAAATCATGACCCCCGGGGGAAGGGCGGGGCCACAATGGGGAATCAAAGTTTTACATAGAAATATATAGGAAAAATCTTTGAAAATCTTCTTTTCAAGAACCACTGGGCCAGAAAAGCTGAAACTTCTGTGGAAGCATCCTGAGGTAATGTAGATCCCAAATTGTTCATATCATACCCCCGGGGGTTGGGCAGGGCCACAATGGGGAATCAAACTTTTAAATAGAAATTTATTGGAAAAATCTTTAAAAATCTTCTTCTCAAGAACAACTGAACCAAAAAAGCTGAACTTATGTTAAAGCATCCTGGTATAATGTACAGACCTGTTTACTCTTACGATTTCCCCGTATTTTGTACGGATTTTTAGTATAAAATACGTCTCACGTTTTGCTGTTATGAAAATACGGAAATCGGAAATACAATCATTTTGGAAATGATCTGTCTTCGTTTCACCCATTTGAGTCGATTAAACAGAGAAAAATTCCAAATACCCGTGATGTCGGGTTCCCAAAACGATGTGGTATTATAAAATGACAAAGACCATGTTGTTAAACCAAGTTTTTGTAATCAATATAGCAGTTATTGCCTTTTAATATATGTAAAATCGACGGAAATTGAAATCTTACTGGCAAATGCCAAATCTCACGGAGAAATCTAATCCGAAATACGGAGAGACGACAATATGGGTAAACAGGTCTGAATGTAGATTCTAAATTGTTCAAATAATGACCCCCGGGGGAAGGGCGGGGCCACAATGGGGAATCAAAGTTTTATATAGAAATATATAGGAAAGATCTTTGAAAATCTTCTTCTCAAGAACCACTGGGCCAGAAAAGCTGAAACTTCTGTGGAAGCATCCTGGTATAATGTAGATTCTAAATTGTTCAAATAATGACCCACGGGGGAAGGGCGGGGCCACAATGGGGAATCAAATTTTTATATAGAAATATATAGGAAAAATCTTTGAAAATCTTCTTTTCAAGAACCACTGGAAAAAGTGAAGCTTATGTGGAAGCATTCTGGGGTAGTGTAAATTCTAAATTGTAGGAATCATGACCCCCGGGGGAAGGGCGGGGCCATTATAGGGAATCAAAGTTTTACATAGAAATATATAGGGAATATCTTTGAAAATCTTCTTCTCAGGAACCACTGGGCCAAAAAAGCTGAAACATATGTGCCCGTGGAAGGATCATGGGGTAGTTTAGATTTCAAAATGTGTAAATTATGATTAGTGGGTAGGGTGGGGATGCATTATGTATAACAAGGGGGAAATCTGGTAAAGAACAGAATGGTCAAAGCTTCTCAGGTGAGCGATGTGGCCCATGGGCCTCTTGTGGTTCGATTTCAGTATAACTTGGCACACATGTAGACTATACTAAGATACATAATTCTTTGCATCTGTTTTTGATTTCGATGAACGGTGTTGCCATGGTTACTAAAAATAGAAATT